CCGTACCCTTTAGAGAATAGGAATAGAATAAGTCTAATCCAATTCATAAAGAGCTATAAAATGTTAGGTTTAATGGAATATAATGAGCAAGTGAAGACGTTATTGGAAAATGGATGAGATGAGCTATTGTGAAGTGATATTCGAAGATTCAGCAAAGGAAATCATGTAAATATACAAACGCCGGTATGACTAATGAAAAATATATTTTAGCTTCCGTGTCCTGCCTTCTGCTATCACAGTAGAACCTTGCACAATAACATCATGGGGCGAGAAAGCTAAATTTCAGTCTCTGAGCTGCAATGCCGCGTTTCATTAATCCCTAAGGCCTGTTAATACCGGATATAGAGCAAGAGTTATCAAAATGTATTGCGTCGCTTTATGTCCTTCTACCAGGCATTTTGGACTATATCAGCTAACTAATCTTCCTAAGCACCGAGGCAAATTCCTTTCACTCCTGTCGCGCTACGTCAACACTTGGGGGAAATGAGAATAAATAGGCCAGTAGATCCTGACCTAGTGGCGGAATAGTGATGTGCCTGACGCATAACGTCAAGGTTTGGGACTTCATCAAGGGAGCAGCACTGCAAAACGCAGTTAAAACCAAGGAAACTGAGGAGGAAATGTTATGTTTTTAAAGAGTTTAACGCACTACAGCAGATACATGAAACTCTCAAACATCCTGAGGAAAGGCACAAAATGATAGCACAACTTGAGAGGGATAAAGTCCTCGAGGACACCTCTAAAACTCAGGAACTCTGCAAGAACATGCAAAAACGACGGAAAGGAGGTAAAGTTAACAAAGTTAACCGCTTGCAACGTGAAGGTGCAATTTATGATGATCCCCAGATTATCAGTGAACTCCTCAGCCTGGGGTCCTCCAGTGGCACCAAATCGCATCCGTCCTCAATTCTCGACACAACCCGCGGAAGTAACTACAATTTGGGTGACGTCAACTTTCATGTACAAAATATAGCCTCAGCGATAGAGACATTAAAGGCTAACGGTAGTTGTGAGATAGATGATATACCATCTGTCATATACAAAACGGTGGCACTGATATAGTCTTATTACTTAGAATAGTTACACTCTTACTGGAGACTGGGACCAGCCCTAAAATTTGGAAATACACTTACATATTACCTGAGCATAAAGCAGGAGCCGAAACTAGAGCATTCAGTTATAGGTCAATCAATATAACACCTGTCATATCAAGGATCGTGGAGAAATCAATCAAAGACCAAATGTCACGCTACTTTCTTAAACATAAACTCACCAACCAGCCACAACACGGATTCCTCAGAGAAGGATCATGAGCCACTTGTCATCTAGATTTTTGTCGAAGTCCCTTATAGAAGAGATATGAGAGAACTAGTAATTATCCTCTATTTCGATGTAAGGAAAGCCTTCAACAGAGTCCGACATAGTCTGCTAGTCAGCAGGTTATGCTCACTAGAGATAAGCAACCCCTTCCAGAACTGGATGAAATTATTTCCCTGTGATAGAAACCAGACAACAAAAGTTGGCTAGATGACGTCCAGGCCTAGACCAATTAGCAGTGGTGTCAGCCAAGGGAGTGCATTAGGCCCTCTCCCTTTCATAATATATGAATAATCTCGCCTAGTTAACTGGCTCGCAAATTGCCAGCTTCAAAATCTCTCAACCCACGGATCCTGAAGCTACTGCTATTGCCAGATGACCAAAGACTTATTGCGTGTCCTATTTGACTAAATCGTATGTTTATAGTTGGTACTACAGACTAAACTCAGAATGCTTTGAACTGCAATCACCTCAAAAATGTCAACAGGCATATTCGAAATCCGAGGGTTGCTTACTGTTCCAATGGCAATAAACCAATACAACGAGACAGTTACAGCACCAAAAGTTGCAGCTTCGAAACGTTAAGGGTGTGGGTGGTTACAAATGCAAAGGTGGCGGCTTCGAAGTTCATGAATAAACATCACCATAGGTTACGGTAACAACTCTGATCGCATCGTCCCATTCTTGTGCTAAGCAGTAAGCAACTAGACCACGCCAGGGATTGTAATTGCCAGGGGAATCGACAACAGATTAAGTTTGACAGGTCATTGAAAATTCATTCCATATTGATAACACGGACAGGACTTTAGTGTTATCATAAATCTGGAGGAGATGGTCAGAGTAAGAACAGGATCAGAAACTGCCAACGTTGTCAGAAGATAATGATGTATAGCTCGTACTACCATACAGTGGCCAGCTATGCTTGGTGAGTATAATAACGTTAGCTTGATGGAAGAGCTGAAGACTCAGTATCCGAGCCAATAAATAATTCGAAGTTGAGAAATTCACTTTGTATGGCAATTATTTACACACAACGACGTATGTAATCGGGAGCACTGATGGTTGAACCAGTGCGTCACACAATAAATGCTTTGATAAAGCAGCAAACGGCGTAGCCAAGGAAGTCACTCCCACCCTGAAACGATAGCGAATGCCATTCCATAAATAGACAAATAACATTCAATTTTTCCTGATTGCATTTAAGATGAACGTATACTATTTGCTGCTTCACGTATGCAGTAAGCGGCGAACGAGATATTTGTGGTTGGTATTATAAGGCATCTGGGGATTTAAGTAATCCTATTCTTCAAGCATTATTACCTCATACCTGTGATCTGGCCGAAAGCATAATGATTCAGTAAACATTTTTTGCGCAAAAGATGTAATGTCTTACGAAATCCTGACAACTAGACTAGACCAATATGGTTAGCACTAAACATTGTAAATGTATACTATCATTCCAAGGAGTCTCCAGTTCCTTCTTGTATATATCTTGTAAATGTACTTTCAATGATGTATTATCCATAATTGTATTTGATACCATTTCGCAGCTTCTTAGGACGTTCTTCTCTTCCGGAAATAGCGTTCAATCACTTGGCGGCATAGCACTCACACAGATATACGCTGTTAACTGGTTGACCATAACTATCAGTAGGAAACGGAACGAAGTTTGAGTTGTCATTTAACTTCGATGGTGACTTTAGTGAAGGGTTTACAATTTAACATTTATAAGAACCTGTTCTGATTGCTTGTAAAATAATTGAACAGTTTAAACTTTTGAAAAAGTATTAATTTATGATACTTCAGGATTGTAATTTATAACATTGTGGTGAGAGATGGTTGCTAGCCAAATTGGTTGACAGTAATTGAGGTCAAAGGTCAAGATGGACAGGCGGATACAGTTAACATATAGATGAACTGACACAGCCACAAGAGATGCAAGGTTAATTTTGTGTGAGAAATAACCAATCAACAGACTGTATTTTCTACTAACATTAACCTACAATAATGTACATCAAAATCTATAAATACGTGTTGATTTTCCGTAATAAACGTTCTGTTGCCTGGCCTTTGTCTTCTGTTGTTACAGCATTACTGATCGTGCCTGTAAAAATGGCATGCATTTCTTGTAGACTTACCCGTTTATACGAAATATAAATTATTATTATTATATTTATTAAAAAATTGATGCAAATAGAGTGAAAACATTTTTTGAATCAAGCGGTTGATAATTATTACCAAAAATTTCTCATAACAAGAAATCTGTTCACTTTAGGGAGTCGTCTTTTGGTACTGCAGAAAGTGAAGGATGTTGACGAGTACGTAAGACACCGTATATGGAGCAACAGGTTTACATCTTCCAACTCAATATGTGCGTACTATTTATACCAGACCATTATTCTTAAGTTAAATCAAAACAACAAACTGAAGCTCTAAAATACGAGTGGCGACCACTGCTTGGCTAGTTAGACTGCGAATACGAACAGCCAAACGCAACGCAGCAGTAAGCCAAACGGTGCCAGTGATTTAATGCAAACTGTCACCTAACGAGTGAAGGTCAGTACCAATACTGAATGATGATGGCTGTGGGCCAGTAAGTTTGAGGAAATTTCTACCGCCACAATACGACAGTCACGATCTGCTTACAGCCGTAGAAAACATTTTGCGAATCCCGTCTCACCGACTGCTTGGAGATAAGGAAACACGATCCACCTCGTGCCCATGCTAGATTCTTCTGTCTATTGATGCAGTTGTGCAAGTCAAACAACCTTCTAAACAACATGAAGTCGAAAGGGCGGAAAACCTCTTACCTTTTATTGTTTAACGGATGGAGGAAATGTGTTGAATTTTGCGGTAAGAACGTCGAATACCAGCCCAAATTCTTATAATCATAATTCCTATAGTATTTGTTTTGCGCAGATCTAAAGCAAATCATCACTACAAAATGACCATCCAAAATACGACATATATTTCGGGATCAAAATCGTAGTGTGATGCTGACTGATTCACTAGCTAGGGGTCGTACATGAATGAACAAACGTAACACGATAGCGTGATAAGTGTCGTGGATGGTTGACTGTGAGCCCTCAGGCAAACAAGTCTACTTAAACGGTGAAGATCAGCATTCAGTGTTGAGTGATGAATACTGTAGGCTAATAAATTTGAGTAATTATCAATCTCTGCATTCTTGAATTCTTATAGTGCTCACTGAATAAATCCAATGTCCTGTTACGACGGATTTATGTTCACTGTTATTCTTTATTTCGTAGGGATTCATGTAAGTTACGACTACCCTATTTTCTAGTATCGAAGAAGGAGTGCCCTAAAACATACATTATTATCCACCATTGAACATAGAGGCATATTAGGTATTACTTTCGCACCCAGGCTAGTCTGTCTTTAAAGCCGTTAGAGAGCACTTAAGAAGTCAATCAAACAATACTTCTGAGTTGAACTGTGCTTTTCAACCAAATATATATTGAATGCCAAGCTTCAAAAGTGAAGTTCACCATTGTTTACAAACAAGCATTATACAGACGAATATTCATTGACCAAAGCTGTTTAACGCCTACTTCTCACTTAACGGATCATAAACCAAATTAGGCATCTATGTGCCATAAAGATTACCGAGGCATATAATTCGCCTTTTCTCTTCCCAAAGTTTAAGAATAATTGAATTATTGTAAGGCTGGGCGGCTGTTCGTTTTCTGGCGGCAAAATCTCGTTGTATAAATGTTGGCTAACTTTCCTATTTGTTGAAAATGTCTTCACACGATGGAAATTTAGCGTTGGTTTGGGACGATCTTAAAAATGGATTTGATGCAATATTTCGCCTGGAGACAATTAAAAGAAAAAGATATATGGAACTCCATACACATGTGTACAATTATTGTACATCTGTTGACCCCAAGTCACACACTACACCTAGTAGAAGTGCCATAGAAGCCGAGCCTGGAGGAAAATTAGTGGGCTTTGAATTGTATAAAAAGCTGCGTAATTATTTAAAGGCACATGTGCATGCTTTGAAGCTAGTAAGCTGTGGTTTAGCGTATTATGTTTTGTAGAAAGGAAATAATCTTGTGGATGAAGAAACGTTATCATATTTTGAAAAAGCATGGACTGAATTCCGTTTCGCATCAAGAGTGTTAGATGGTGTCTGCAACTATCTGAATAGACATTGGGTAAAACGAGAATGTGAAGAAGGCCGGAAGAGTGTTTATGTTGTGTACACAGTACGTTGTTTTTTCTTTGGTGTTTCTTGTATCTAGTTCTTATAAGTTTTCTTGTTGAAACTTAAAGTTATAAGGATGATATCATACTGTTAGAACTCAGTTATTTCTAACAGAGTTCTCGTGTACTACGTTTTGAGCCGCAATTTTTTGCGTGAAGACTCATGATACTACGCAGTTGCTGAGGGAAGATTTGAATCTGTAACCTGCGGCTGTGTCGAGTGTTTGAACCACTTTGCCACACGCACAGATAGGTGTGAAGCAACCAGAAATTCGGCAAAATGAGACTGACTGCCACTCTGACCAACCTTACCACTGGTCTTGAGCAGCTGACTAGGATTCACAAGCAATAAAATTGGCGAAACAGCTAATAGTGACCATAGGTTCCTGTGTTTAAGGGTTAGTTTATGTTTCTGATTTTGTTGTTGAGGTCTTTCTTAAAAACGCAATCATCTCAAATGACCAGTCTTCCTGTCGAGCTTCCCCCATATACTCATGTTTTATTAACTCCGATTAATATGTAGTATTCACACAGAAATCAGACGTTCAGCCTTACTGGAACTCATTAATCAGGTGAAGAACAGAAGGCATAGTTTAATTTAGTTATGCCACCTGTAGCCTTAATTGGCAATCGGTTATGTGCCGGGATGGCTGCTACAGCTTAACTTGGCTGAAATCCATGACATGTCTGAATTTACTCTGTCAGAGCTTTACTTTGTTCCTCATAAAAATTTTCAAATGATCTGATTTCAGGTTTTACTCATAATTTCTAAGTTTAATGAAGACGAATCCCATTTTTTGTGTTATGTTTAAAGTTCAACTTCGAAACGGGATCGACTCGTTTCCGGTAGTGCAAGAATATTATTATGAGTAACCATTCGATACTTCATATATGTTAGTAAGAACAGTATTAAGTTGGGAATGTTATTCGTATTTATGTCACTATACGGTACCATTCCGTGAGGGTGTTGTGGCGTACCTAACAATAAAAGCAAGTAATTATGCAAAATACCAAATTAAAATCTTAATCAGTAAAAGCTACTTAAACAATATGGTCATTAAGGTTAGTGAATTATGAGGGAAAACATTTACGTGGGAATAAGATTAGGTCCACTTTCTACAAAATTAACAATAATCCAAGAATATGGTCACGTGATATATTTCAGCAGTTGTTGTCGACTGTGAGTCTGCCAACTTGCTTGTTCAATCTTCTTTACATGTCCTTTCTGATGCCAGGTAACGTGAATTCATACACCACGCTGTTAAGTTAGCCAAGACATTTTAATATTATGACAAGAAGCCTACGTATTAATACTCCTGATTTTGAGCATAATTTGATGTACCCGGCATCGGCACTTCTATCCGCGTAACAAGATTTAATGATATCTAGAAACTGTAGGGAAAAGAGGTGTGAATTATCGTGAAGATATACAAGGATTAGATGTGAACCTATCCTTGATGATTTCCTACAGATGTTATATGTCATCTAAGTCGATAACCAGAGAATACACTGTATTGGCAAGTTAATGATTTCATAAAACCCCTAGCTCCTATATCATTTGTGCTCGCCGCACAGGAGACAGCTCTCTTATCTCAGCAGCTTAGTTTATAACACTGGCATTTGAAACGATCAGTCATTTATATGTTATATTACTGTTATTAGAATACGGACGTGCTACATTATAGACACCAAGTGCTGCGCCACACAAAATCTTATAGTTTGAGAGATGGCTGGGATACTGCCCAGATGCACAAACCAAAAGCGCGTAGTTTTCTTAAGGTGCTGCTTCCGAAGCATTTGACTTGAAGTCTGATCCACGAGGCAGTAAAGTGGTGTCAGCAGCTGCATGCCATTGGTTTCCAGTGACCAAAAGGGGTTGAAAGGGCATTCGGTAATCTCGGATTCTGGACGTGCATGTCCACCAGTCTGGTTGTGAGGACCAAACGTTCGCATTCGCCCTTTCACTTTTGTGAGGAACACCCTCCACGCTGCGTGAAAGCAGTGAATAGGACTTACCTGACAGACTGTCCAGATAACCAATCTCAAATAAAAACCAAGTGAGAGTCGTGGATCCCGCCGCCAACTACTACCAGGCAATTTTATTAAAGCAACGTGCTTATTTCTGTCTCGCACTATACTAATAGGTATTACTATAATCCACAGGACTCATAACAATGGAGTTAGATAGGGTTGCCTAATCTCATCATTTTGCTTTAACTTTGCTATCGATGACATGGCGGAGACAGCTGTGAAGGATGTGTGTGTTAGCTGACATACGGTCAGGTTGGGAAAGAGCTAGTAGTGGTCAAGCCAAAACTTGGCTTCAGTCAACTGATGAGAAGCCAACGAAGTAAATGATGGTACCATATTACTCTGCACAAACCACTGTTATTCTTGCTTCATTCAAAATCCACAACAGTTAGTTCAAGCCAGCTGCCACATAGGGAGGCGTAGACTGGCTTCCTGGTCGGGGTCCTCGGGACGGTAAAATCCAATGAAGGCTGAAGACAATCAGTGATATGGCTCAAAATCGTTGTCAATAGCTGGCGCAGATGCATTTACTCCTTGTGACTTATGATATCCAATAAAACTACTGCTCTTCCATATTACTATTCTTTTTGCCTCATATCTCTGTTTATTATCTTTTTTGAATCTTTCTTTACTCTCTTTTCTTATTTGCATGAAGTAAAGTTTTGCAACTGGAACTGGTGCACATGTGTGCAGAGTTCTACTTTGAAACCAGTCAGTCAGACTATCTGGAGAGACGCTTTAAACTCGAGCAGGTTAACGATATCGTATTACAGTGCAGCAACTCACAGGCTACCTAAATCGCATCTAATCAGTTAGCAGTCAGTGTCTGCAAGTATGATAATTGCTTTGATCTGCCTATGGGCAAAGTATAGTTACAAGGTTGACATGGTGCTGTATCTACATTACGTTAGAAGTAGTCGATGAGTTTATGTATACAGGTAGTTGTGTGAGTGTTTATAGTCTGACAGATGAGACCTCTAGCAGTATAGTGAAAGCCAGACCTCTGGCACCGTTACGACGTCAGTCTAGCTATCAAAGGTTGGATTTACAATGCTTTGTTGCGCACGGTCTTGTTGTACATCTATGAAATCTTGCTTCTTCGACCTGAGCATATGTAGTGACTCTGCGTCCGTGGAATCTTTCATATTCGGTGTCATCATCATGTAAGTAGTTCTGAGGTCCGGTGGCGTGTTTGAACACGGCAGAAGTCATCATGGAACACCGGCTTCGGTGGCTTAAACTTGTACTATGAGTGTCATTCGAGTGACTGCTACACTGTTCCCTGTTTGCTGTTCCTGGGACTGGTTGAGAAAAGTGGAGAGATAGTCAGCCCATGATGTGACGCCCTAAGGCAAAGGATAGTTGGTTAGCATTTGTTGGTGTAACTGTCTGGAAAACCTGCTAGAGATAGGTCTAATCAGTGACTCGAGACGTTATCAGATATAGTCGAGAAACATAATCGATGCAGAACGTGCTGTAATTTCCAACTAAAACATGGCACCAGTCAGTGAAATCCACAACAGTTAGTTTAAGCCACGTAGGAAGGTGCAGACTTCCTGGTTGGGGTCCTCGGGACGGTAAAAACCAATGGCTGGAAACAATCGGTAACATGGCTCAAAATCGTTCTCAATGGCTGGCGCAGATGCATCCACTCCTTGTGGCTTATAATTTCCAATGAAACTATATTGTTCTTCGTTATTACTGTTCCTTTGTCTCATATCCATGTTTACTGTCTCTATGATGCATTTCTTCCACTTTATTCTCTTGCTTTGTGTGCCACATGGAATGTGGCGACTCAAACTGCTGCACATTAGTGCAAAGTTCTATGTCGAAAACAGACAGACAGTCCCAAAACTGATTTAAAGCTTCAGCTGGATAACTTTTGTTATCTGAGTGAGTAATATCTTTTGTTGCCATATGGAGTGATATTGTACGCCAGGGCTGCTGTAGATGACTTTTATTCAATCCTTCAAATCCACGTAGAAGAGATAATTTGCTATCGCTCACTTACTTTAGAATATTTTATTCATTTGTTTCTGTGCATTTTTGCATTACCTTCATATCTGGTGGTACTCATGTTAGGGACATACAAGCTACTTGGTTATTATAATGTCGCACAACATTTAGTCGTTTAGACAAAGAATTCATTTTCACGTTCTCTGGTTGTTACTCAGTTAGTCAGTAAATAGAAACATGAAAACTAGGATAATTGCTGAGTAGTTCAAGTGATTGTATGTTTTATTTACACTTCAAATAGGGTGTAATGAAAGGTCGTAAAATGCATCAAGATACATTTAAAAAAATAGTGATAATACAACTAAAGTGATAAACAAATGTTCGAGAATTTATCTAATCTGCTGAAATCTTTCTGTTCTAGCTGGCACTGATGACATGGCGTGAACATCTATTGAAACCTCATGCTAGAGTTTTAATCAGTGCAATTCTTCGCGAGATTGAACGAGAGCGTCGTGGAGAAATATTGTCGACATTACGACTAAGAAAAATCATTGAATGTCTAGTCGAGTTAGGCATTACCTCTGATCAGCAATCGTTTTCAACATCTTCACTGGCTGGACCTGCTTCATCTCCTAGTGAACCTTTACCATACTTGATGAAACCCTTCAAATCTCCTGGTTTTCCACCGAAACCTAGTGGTTCTACCGCAAAACCATGTAAACCTGATCCGGTAAGTGTTTATTTTTTACTTTTGAGTAGGTGTGATGTTCAGTTCGTCTCTGTATTCTTCCTCGTTTTTGTTAGGCACTAGGTTCATGGTTGGTTCGCTTCTTTTCATAGTTATTTGTTACTAATCTCTTCTGGCCATCTGGTCTCTAGTATGGGCCTAACGAAGACAGCTGTGAATAAAAGTTTGAAACCTGTTCGAGGTGATTCGGGTGAAATGCCAAGTCTCTGAACGATATAGAAGCACTGACTGGCTTGACGTTAGTGTTGAAAATCCGAATCTTGTTCTTAACTCTGGCTGCAGTAGACTAATGAAGGTTTGTCGTGCCTTTCCAATTTATGGCTGTTACATCCTCATCCGTGAGGTGTGTAGGTGGCTAATAATACATTATTCACCTCATTAGTTAATAAACTGTTCTAAGTCACCTAACTGGTGCGTCGGTGGTATAGCGGTTAGGACGCTCGCCGACCATGCACATGGTCCGGGGTTCGATCCCCGGCCGACGCACTCCTTTACCTCGCTGAGCCAGAAATAATGCTGGTAAAGAGGTAAGGTTGGGCATGAGGCTAGCAACCCCATGCTGTAAAATAAACACTGCTACAGAAACTTCAAGCCACTAGCTTGAAGCCCTATGTTCCACTGGGGAACGTGAAGGAAAAAAAAGTCACCTAACTATATGCCAAGTTATATTTATCTCATAAATTAAGGGGTGGAAGTAATTAGATGAACACTTAAAGGCAGTCAAGAATCTTGGGATTTTAATATTTTCATATGGTTCAGATAGGTGTTGTAATAAAGCGTTTATGAGCCCTTGAGTTCATAAATCCAAAGTGTTTTTGTTCAGTTTTGCCACAATAGCTAGGAAATATTTTTTTAGCACTGGGTATTTTGTTGAAAAAAAGTCCTCACTACTGTCCTGTCAGAAGTACTACTCGGGATTTTCATTTCATTGGATGCTTATTAGGGTATATCCCAAAAGCAACTAGAAGGGTTGACGCTCATGATTTCACTCTGATAGTTCCTTGTTCTTGATTGGGATTAACTTCAGACATTAGCGAATCCTGTAATAAGAGGATACTAACATAGATGGATAGCGACATGCCATTTTCGCTATTAATCATGTTCAAAAGTCGTCGATGGTTTATATTCCATTTCTGAGTTTGAATCACTTATGTGCCTTTTTTTAAGGAAAGAGCACTCAAGCGTTATTAATTCAATTTGAACTTTTCTGTTGATTGATTGGACCGAAGTGCTCGACCTCATGTCGACATATCGACTCCTTGTACAGATGCTTCGACGATGTCTGATTAATTAACTTGAAGTAAATTGGTGGGTGGTGACTAGCAGTGGAATCCACCAGGATACGCATTTCATCCTACTTGGGACTCGTCATCTGGTTGCATCTGCACTCCCCAGTGAGTGATGTTGTTCCCATTGGTACTCGGACCCAGTACCCATAGTTTCATACGCCAAAGCGCTATCCACTAGGGGTGTCTTTCGTGGCCCAAGTGGTCCATTGGATAAAGCTTTGGTGTTTGAAACTATGGGTACTGGGTTCGAGCCTCAATGGAAACACCACTAACTGGGGAATGCATGCACATCCAATTTACGAGTCCTAAATAGGATGAAATGGGCATCCTGGATTCCATTGCTGGTGGTAACCACCCACCAATTTACTTCAAGCAATCAAACGTCTTTTAAAACATGTCAGAAGTGGTTATTTGTATTGGAATTTCCGTTATATTCCGTTCGCTTTGGTAGAAAACGTTAAACTCAAGAATACATTAAAGTTATTGACGGGCTAATTAAAATCGAGAAATTCATTTTACATCTCTGTGATAAAAATGTTGCTAAGAACAGAGCATGCGTCTTCCTCTTTTAGCTTTTGTTTATTTTGCATTCCGAATGAAACAGGGATTCAAGCTTGAGCTTTGAAGATTCAGTAACATTGGTATTTGTTTTTTACGGTGTGTGGTTGCTCTAGCCTCACGCCCAACCTTCTCTCTTTTTACCCATCTTACAATGGACTAAACGAGTTTTAGAAGTACATTGGTTGGGAGTCGAACCCAGACCATGTGCATGGTTGGTAAACATTCTACCTATGTGTTTATGTTAAATTAGGTGTTTGGAAGCCTTTGTACTTACTATGGGTTATCATTCATCATTGATATGATTATAAACAACAAATTGTGTTCGGTACCTCGTTATCCAACAACTAGTGCTGTTTCACTGAGTGTGTGATATCGCTAATAAATAAATATAGAATTACATACTTTTACAGCCTTTGAGTTTTACACATATATTAACATCATTCATTATATTTCTTAGTGTTGTAATTGTTTTATATTTTGTCGGAATTGTATCAGATCATATTTTAATTGTACATTGAAGGCCAGTGGACCGTGTGTCAATCTGGGTCCTCTTTAGAAACGTCTTAGATATGTGCGTAGAATAGATTTAGTTCAGCAGTAGTCCTCTTCATTAGGGTAACGCGGCGGTTTCAGCCTGGGACTGAAAATGTAGCCAGTAATTGAACTTCTTTTCACTGGATATCAGGAAATCAGTTATCCCACTAATTGTAGTAGTAGGCTTAACGGGCCTACAAAATAGTCAGCGTATGGTAACTGACTTAGTTGTTAAGTTAATAATAATGGTAACGACAATACTAGCAACAATAATACTAACAATAGTAGCACGGGTGGTTTTATTCTGTACATATTACAGAATTCTCAGCGTTTTCTATTTCTCAAGATTGATTACACATACAGAAATCTTCGAATGTTTGGCGTGAGATTCGTGTTGCGCCTGCTGAGCCAATACCTTCCTCTACGAATACGGTTAACCGAAATAGGATCAAGTTTTGAAAGAGTTAGAAGTGGTCTAACCAAAGCCTGGCATCAGTCCATGGAGCCTTGAGCTGTTGGACTTAGCAGCCTCATAAGGAGGTGTAGACTGCCTGACTGGTTGGGGTCTTCGGGATGCTGAGAACCATTGGCTGGAGACTATTGATGAAAGTCGTTCACTCTTTGTTATCTCTCATATCCATATTACGCTTCTTCCTCCCGTACATTTCTGCATATTGTAGTTTTATTTTTGAATCTCTTACCCCCGCCTTTGTGTGTTTTATAGAGTGTGGCAACTTGAACTGCTACACTCCTGTGCAAAGCTCTGTGCTGAAGTTCACTCAGTCAGTCATGTGACTCCCTAGAGTGTTTCTTCATCAGTTACTCTAAAAAAAGTGCAAGGTGATGGATTCAAAACTACGCGAAAATGGGTTTGGTCAAATACAGTGTTATAAAGAATTGATTATAGAATTAGAATTTTATAAGATACAACAATAGAGCTTTATTTCCCGTTTATCTGAATACCGTCATTAATGTCTAGCTGTCACTAATGCATAGACATAGACAGAGTTGTGGCTTTGCTTTAGTGGTATTTAACTATTCCCCTTAATATCTTTTCCCTTATATATCTACCTACATGTGTATAATTATAATTCCATTGTAGGATTCCAATTACCAGGGTACATCAAGTAAACCTCTGTCAAGTTTTCGTGGTCCACTTCATCCTGGTGATGCAGTTGATGAATCCAACTCGGGTAATCCTAATGCACCACCATCATCATCACCAACTTTAACATCTGATACACGGACTAATTTATCAGTTTATCAAGAATATTTTGAACGACCATTTTTATCTGAAACTGAACGATATTATCGATTAGAAAGTGCACAGTTTTTACAGACGAACACTGTTCCAGAATATCTTCAAAAAGTAAGTTTTTTTATGGCATTATTTTTTATGAATAATATTTATATTCACGTGCATGTTTTACTTGAAAACATTTAGAAACACCAGAATACGAAGTATTTTGACCTGCTCAGGAAATGTGAGCATATAGTGTGGTTTTTCAGGGTGATATCTATTCTCAGATTTAGAAGATCGAGTTGGAAAAGAGTTAGAACCAGTCAAAGTGGATCTGTTTTGGAAGTAAATATTGCATTAAATTCGCTGCTTCGTAGAGTTGTGACTCATTGGGGTTTAACGTTGCTCCGCCTATCGATATAACTGAAAGAATCACAACGTATTCATTTATGTTTAGATCAATACTGCAAAATTCAAACAAAAGCTTGATTTTTGTTTACACATGGTGATTTTGAGATCATACATGTTCTAATCCATAAGAGACTTGTGTACGAGATAAAAGGTAGGTAGTGAAGTGGTTGGTGGAGCGTGTTGACCTTCCCTTATTTGGGAAGTTGCATCAGCCAACGCCAGCGGGTTGATCGCTGACGAAATCTCACCACGGGTACAGAAGGCTCGTCTGGCATATGCCTGCCAAATTACGCCATCCCATCTCTGGCGTAGACGTGATATCCGCCTGTCGACCAAAGGACGTGTTTACTGCTCAGTATTTCTCTCTGTCTGCCTATGAGACATGGCCATTGAAAGTGGAAGACATGAAAAGCCAGGCTAGCCATCTTTGATCATAGGTGGTATAATAGGGTGAGCGTCGAATGCTATGTAAGGGGGAGAAATCAATCGACGAGGTTGTGAAGCAACTGCATCGATTGAGATGGTTAGGACGTGTGTTACGTATGCCTAGACATCGCCTTTCTCGACGGGCATGTTAGCTGACATAAGAGATGGATCAGGTTAGAAAAGAGGGAGCTAGTGGTGGTCAAGCCAGCATTGACAGAGACTTTTCGCTGAAATACGTTGTTTTTTTGTAATTTTCATCTTCGCTTTCATTTTCTTGAAATACAGATATTGGTTAGAAATTCTAAATCATCAACTTAATTTTAGGAAAAAAAAATTAGTTGTCAAAATAATAAAGGACTACCCTATGATGATTGACAATAATTATATATGGATAGATGTGTATAGCTTAGCTGTGAAGAAACTATTTTAAACAAAGGCTTGGATGTAGAAGAGAGTTAGTCCATTGTACAATTTTCCACTTTCCCTATTCACATTAACTCTTTCTAATAATTAATTAATTAATTGATTTTTTATTTATTGTTATATGTGACTGCCTATTTGAGTACACTATGTATGAACTATTTTTTTAAAAATTAAGAACACACAAGTGATCTGTTCTCGTAACTACTTCTCTTCAAAGATGTAGAGATAATTAGGGGTGTTTGTCTATCTAGTGTCAATTGCAAAAGAAGGACAATGGTGTTATTTATTGTCATTTTAGGAACAAAATAAGTCAGTGTATGAGAAATAACAATGTGTACAATAATAGTGAATAGCCGAAGACATTGGCTAAGGGTCGCGCTATGTCATGAATTGGCAGAAGTTAGAATTCACGGGCCATTGCATCGGGTCCCAGTGGCTTAATGATACACGAGCTCGCCTTGTAACCAGAAGGTTCTGGGCTCGAATCCCGGTGAGTGCGTACTGATGAAGAGTCCCAAACTAGAACGAAACAGTTGGTTTTCCAGTATTTCTCTAACTAATATCAGCTCATGATGAAATTCCTATAACCAATCAAATCCCTACAAACCAACACTTGAATAGTGAATAAATTTGGGCAAGTCGAGAGGGAGAGAGAGAGAGTTGACAACTAAATTAGTTAAAATCTGATGAATATAGTTATTTTTGGATATAATTGGTAGGGAACTAGAGAACAAAGAATTGACAATGGATTACAAAAGGATTACAAAATAAGATTGACACTAGAGGGGGGGGTCATGCTAGTAAAAAAAAAGCAGGATAAAATGTTTCTGAACCCATATAAAGTCCTGGTGTTTTCCTTATGGATTGCTAGAGCTTCGGTTGCACGGAAAAGATGTAGGCGGATTCTTTTTAAACGGCGTGGTGGTGGTTGTACCTTATATATATGACTTTGAGTGAAGTCTCTGATGATGATGCTGCTGCATCTTCACCAGAAGTGATAATCTACTCCAGAATTAAGTTGTTGACTGTTTTGCGATCTCCTTTTTGACAACTATGGAGGTAAATGTATATGAGCGTGTCTAGACAGTGTCCAGTCATACATGTATATAAAGTACGATCAAGCTGGAAAAACGTGGTTTTTGTGTTCAGAAACTTTTCACCTAGTGTCTTTTACTACGGCAAATCTGAACTTCAAGGGAGATATGATTGGTGAATTTCTCCAAAGTTGCTTGTCAGAAGCAATTTGAGAAACACTATTTGCTGCATCTCTGTTCCCTGCCTTCTCCGCATATGCAGTTGTTCACGAAATCGTCATAGAAAAGATCCTTCTGTTGGCAACTTCAATGTGCATTTATGTGTTTACTTGCTCCTGTGGAGTTAAGTGTGTATTGGTGATTTTAGATGAATTTCGTCACACTTCCTTCCAATATCCAATATCGTTTTTACGAGCTAGTATAAACTAATTTGATTTCTTTGTGCTCGCCTTTTGATTGTGAGGTATAGGTTCCTGATCTTCGGTAAACTTCTGCGTAGCTCGTCCCGCCACTCGACTGTCGTAGCTTTGGTTGACTCCAAAAGGAGTAGTGCTGGGATTAATTATATGTGGTTTGTAGTATGAGGTGTGTTAAGACTGTTACTACTGTGAATGGAGTTGATCCTTTCACCAGTTAGTCCTCCGGTATCGTCGTCAAAAGAAAAGAGATAATAATAGATATAATTAGTGAAGTTATTCAGGCTAACAGACAGAAAAAGAATTAGAAAACGTAACAACAGTCACCTGATTAAATTTGAAGAATAATATGAATAATATATATATTTATATACATATATATCGGTAATAATGATGATAATAATAATAATAAGTGCAGTTAAAGTTGTCAGGAGAGTAAGGCGAGAGAGAATGTAAACAAGTCAAACGACGAATTTAGTTGTCTACCCCTGAATGGTGTATGCGATTTTAAGGGGATAGGCCATTCGGATGCCAATTAACTTATTAGCGTTAGCTTGATTTGACTCTATTCTGATGGAATTTTAGTTAAACTGATGAATAATGACGTTACCGGGGATTCTGACTTTCTCAAAAAGTTTCAGAAGATGCGCAGGGGTAAACTGGAATTGTAATTGAGCAATTATACAGTAAATGCATTATATTGTTTATCCAGTGTAGCTAGTTTGGTGGAAATCTGGGGGATAAGTATTCAGATACGTCGTTTATACACTAATGCTATGGACCTGGTGTTCTATGACTCCTCCTCTCGTTAGTTTGTGTATTCAAGTGAAGTCAGATTCAGATTATACGGATGGAGGGCTCTCGTTACCTATGTTAATCCTTGCAATATACATCTCTGCAGAGATCTAATTTCTCTTCCAAAGCGTTGACCGATAGAGCTGTTACTACTGAGTCAAGTTAGGAGTTCCAGTGCGTCGGTGGCACAGCGGTTAGGACGCTCGCCGACCATGCACATGGTCCAGGGTTCGATCCCCGGCCGACACCCACCCGATATCAATGGTCGGCCTGCGAAATTTGGGCTACCGATATCACATGCTGAAAATTCCATACTTGTACCAAAAATACTGTGTGGTTTTAAGCTGTAATCAAAATATAAAATATAAAAATATAAATAGTATAGGCTATACCAGCAGGACATTATCTGCACGCACGCATGAACATTTACTACGACGGTTGTCGAAAGGAGGAATCAGAACGGTCAACAGCTCAATTCTGGAGCACATTAGTAATTCTGGTCACATAGCATCATCACAGACTTCATTCAGGGTCAAGCCATTAAAAAAGATTTCGCCTACATCTTTTTGATACAGCTAAAGCATCAAAAATCCATAGGGAAAAACCCGGGACTTTGTGTTCAGAAATTTTTTTATCCAACCTTCTGAATTTACTGTATAATAAACTCCATGTGATACTCTCATTTCTTTAATCTTTATTTCGCAACTTATTTTCAACCCCTTTTTCTCATATTTCCTATCAATTAATTCTCAAATGGTTATTCATTACTCGACTAATTAGTTGTCGACTCTGTCTCTTTCCGACTCTCGATTACGTAATACTGTCAGCTACTGTTCACACCTTGTCTTATATTACACACTGACTTGAGGAGACCGTTGAGTGACGTCACGCGTCCGGCAGTTCTTCGAGTGAAACCTGAATGAATAAAGACGAGTTGAGCTTGGTCCGGGTGTGGCATGGAGGAGATAGTGTAAGGTTGGATGGAGATGACTTCTTATGGGGAATCGTGGGACCGGCTAAAGAGGATTACGGAGAGCAGGATGAAATGGAGATGTACCGCTGAAGCACTCTATGTTCCACAAGAACTTCTGACCTTTGTTGTCAGTTCACATCGTGTATAAATACCCCTAAATTAACCATACGGCTTTGAAGTGCAGTTATGAATAGAAGAGATCTCTATTCTCTGACTAATGTTCTTCGTTACATCACATGCTTTGAAAAAGATTATTTTGTTATGTGTTTTTACTTTATAATCTTATCACATTCTTTAGGTGGAAGCTCGATTAAATGAAGAGCGTATTCGTGTTCAAACTTACCTTCATATAAGCACACTTCCTAAATTAATGAGATCCTGTGAACATCATCTGATCGGTGAACATATTGACCGGTTGACATCAGTCTTCTCAGATCTTTTCAATGAAGACAGAGAAGAAGGTCAGTTACTTATTCTTATTCTTTTTTGAGTTATATATCATTCTAAATGAACCATATACATTTAGTTTTCTTCATAGGTGTATTGACAAAATAAATTCATAAGAAACCCAATTTCTTAGCTTGGACACTTGTTCGTAATTAGTGTAATATGTGTCTAGTCTGGTGCAGACTGAATTCTGTCAGTGATAATGTCTCTGACTACAGCACTTGGTGACGTGGGTTCGAATCTCAGAAGGAACATGAGTTTCTCCTAGGCTGCAGATAAGCCTTGCTGACGAGTGTCAACAGGCACGAAAATTAGGTGAAGGGCCTCCTGTCGATTACTTCCAATCATTTAATATCAAACCTGAATTCTGAAAATTTATGGCATCCATAGGCAGATATCAGACTTTTCCTTGTATCTCCTTTAGCTCCTCAGTATCCTTTTTTCATAACTTTGAGGGTAAAAACAACAAGTGTATACAGCGCTAAGAGTCACTAGCTTATGTTCTGTATAACTTCCAGAATTGTGCACCCAGAGTGCATCAATTCGTAAGTTTGTCATCCTTCACGCAAGAGTCAAACTATCCGAGTTAATGAATAAGATCAGCGTTTTAAGAAAGTATGTCAGGGTGAAGAGATCCGTTCTTTATAATCTGTTTTACATCGTATCATCGATGATCTTTAATTATTCGTTCTCAGCGTCTCTCCATTTCCTTTTTCATATTTTACTGTTGTAATCTTAGGTTACGTGGCATGGTTTTCGATGTTAGCGAATTATCGGCATACCTTTTCTGTAGTGCTACAATCCTATGCAGAGTAAAATCTATATGCTTCTATATATATAATGTGTTCTTATAGGGATTTCAATGTAGACTTCATCACGAACTAACATCACTTAAAGATTATTGAAATCCTAGGGGCACTAGGTGACTGTTTCGTCCTAGTTTGGAATTCCTCATCAGTGCACATCCATGACATCACCAGGGATCAAACTTGGAATCTTCAGGTTGTGAAACTAAGGTGTTTAACGATTCAGCCATTTTTTTTTGGGGGGGGGGTCAATGATCCGTGAGTTCTAACCTTGTCCATTTGTGATATAGCACTAGTCTGACGAATGCCTTTGATGAGCATCCACTTCATCTCGGCATGGTGGACCACATTGGTCATGACTTCTGAGTACAGCATCCGGACATCAATACAGTAGTTATCAGTGAGCTGCAGGCTACTATTTAAATTATGGGTTTTGGTTAGGATTTGGTTAAATTTCAATGTAAATTGCCTCACAGGTCATTGAATTCCAACCTAAGTGACTAAATGGTTAACAAGCTGGGTCTCGTAACCTGAAGGTCCCGGTTTCTATCTCTGGCGGTGTCTTGAGTGTACACTGTTAAAGAGTTCCAAAATAGGACGAAACAGCTACCAAGTGCTCCTTGGATTTCAATGATCGCTTATTGATGTTGGCTATGATAATGTAGCCCTTGGCCTACTGCTAGGTCGACACTTTTTGCATTGATGCATTCAGACATTTGATTTATTCTTCCTATCCCTGTTCAAACCATCAGCAATAGATGAATAGTGGTCGCACTCACCTGAATTTTTCTGAAATTCTATCAAGTTCTGTCAACAGAAGTCAGCGACATTGATCGTGTTGGTTACGCTACAAACTCTAACTTCATTCTTTTAATTTTCAGTGAATTCGGGATTCTCAATTCACATATGACACCACCATACAGCACTTCTACCGGCAACATCTAATGATACCTGCTTACTTATTTTAATGGTTCTTAGATGTTTTCGAATCCACTCTTGATGATGCACGATGCTCTCAACCATATGGTGTTCCCGAATTACCTGTCTTTTCATCCCAAAATAATCATTGCTGGAAGTAAATAAGCAGCAGCTTATTCAGTACAGTAAGTGCATCGGTGGTTCAGCGATTAGGACGTTCGCTGACCATGCACATGGTCCGGGGTTCGATCCCCGGCCGATGCACTCGTTTACCTCGCTAAGCCAGAAATAAAAGCTGGTAAAGAGAAAAGGTTGGACATGAGGCTAGCTACCCCATCCTGTAAAAATAAACACTGCTACATAAACTTCAAGCTGGCTCTAGCTTGAAGCCCTATGTTCCACTGGGAACGTGAAGGAATAAAAAAATATTCAGCACAGTAGTATCCTTCGAAGTACCGTTAGAACATTTTTAGTTAGTAAGCTATATTTGGGAATTACATTTATCCTCAATTAATCTCACGCATTCAACAACCTCTCACAATGTCATGCAGTTAGCGATGAACCACACCTATCGTGTGATGGTTCCTTATCTGGCTGCCCAAAAATTCGAAAGGTTGAGCGGATTTCAGTCTCGTGACCCAACTGTTTGCAATTCGAACATATAAACCGATGAACCACAACTCAACACTCTTAATTGATAGGTTGTTACAAATACTAACTAGCAAATTATAGCCACTTGGTCATTTTCCTATCTTGTTTTTTCACACATGGATACTTATATATTAACACAATGATTAGTAAATTTTGCGTGTTTTACTAAGAAGTATGGAAACTATTACCAAACTCCACTTACATTAAACGTGAATTTTGTTGTCTCCTTTTTCATTTAGATATATGGCGAATGTATCGCCTAGTCGGTCATTTCCCCAGTGGAATACGTGTTCTCGTTTCTGTTATGGAGGATCATGTGGCTGAAAAAGGATGGGAAGCTATTCGTCAAGTAGCTGAAGCTGCTGTTAATGTGAGTTCTTGTCGTTCAGCTTACTTTTTTTTGTAGCATTGATATGACGACTGTCTTATTCCTCAATAGTGGACCTACCAATAGCCGCTGCACTGACGTGGCGGCCGCCGGCCTTGCATATTGCAATGATCCAGTGAGCTACGCTGACTGAAACTGTTGTTCCTACAGGTCTTACAACTCTTCCAGGAAGGTTATCCGTATGGCGGTTAGACTAAAAGTAGTCAGAATCGAAGTGTTATCTGATTTACACTATGTTGGGGACCGGTTTGTGGGCAAATTCGTCCTTTTGGGGAATAGGAATGCATCAGCAGTAAGATGATTCCTCGGGCTAACCAGCATGCCAGGTATGCTACCTCTCCGTTTTGCGGAGTTAGGTTAGGCAAATTGGACCCCAAAAATTGTACATCCCAGCTTTGGCGGTTTGTAGCCGGCTTCAAGATCTTAATACATAAATAACTCCAAAACTCACTTCAGCCTCAAGCATTTTCCCCCTCGACAGTGCGGTCACGCTACACTAATGTTCCTTCATGGCGCTGTCATGTCTGCATGCTGATGAGAAGTCTCAAACCGCGACGAAACAGCTTTACGGTACTCTCTGTCTTCTAGTGGTTCTCTAACGTATATAATTCCGTAATGTAACTTGAATTCCGTTACAGAATGTTGGATAATGTAGTGGACCTTACTCGACACTTTGTTCACAAAAACGTTTGTCCTATCTTGTATCCAGTTAAAATTTATACTACACTTCTTCAATTCTTAAGTGAAACTACTAAAAGTATAGAGAAGGTACATTCTTATGTCTCAATAAGTTGATAAAAACAGCGCTAATATAGTAAGTAATACCAATGGAAATGAAATTGTCTCGTTATGGCTCAATGGTCTTGTTAATCGGTTAACAACCACCGCGTCAATGGTTTGAACGTCACTCCACCTTCTGAGGTTTGATCAGCATTAGTATCAATCACCCTGACTGACGAAATGTAATGAATTTATAAGATTTTGAAACATTGCATGTTTTTGGAGGCATTGTTGTGCATTATTGTTGTTTGAATAATCAGGGTTAAGTTTTGTTTTTAAGTCAGTTTTAGCTTTCCTCGTTGATTGACTGAACCAAAATCTAAGTATATGGCGAATATGGGGTACATGTTCTTATTTCTGTTGTGGAGGATCATGTGACTGAAACAGGATGAGGGAAGCTGTTCTTCAGTTAGCTGAAGCTACTTTGGCCTCTGAGACGACGGGGACTGGGTTCTAGTCTTAGTCAGAACGTCATCGCTCACTGCGGTATTTAGGCACACCAAGCTGATGAGTCCCAAATAAGATGAAATACGCGTCTTGGATTCCACTGCTAGTCACCATTCACCAAATTACTTCGGGGTTGAGTTTTACTGGCAAATATCAGAAATAATGGTCAACCTATGCGCATATCCGTTAGATTGTATATTCCACAGATGACAAATGACTGGTGGGTGCTATTACGCTCTACTGTTAACTCCTGGTGTATATATATTTTACATAAGTAAAGCCGCTTTCGGCTGAAAGTTATTTTTAATTAAATCTTTTATTCTACTATTTTATTGTTATTCTTAATTTTCTTCAGGATCCAAAATTGTACATTGATACAATATTAAAAGTTCATCAAAAACACTATAATCTTGTATTATCTGCTTTTGCTTGGGATCCAGCATTTTCACGTGCATTAGATAAAGGCTGTGAACGTTTTATTAACCGAAATGCTGTCACTGAATTAGCTGGTAATCAAAGAAAATCACCTGAACTTTTAGCTAAGTATGCAGATTTTCTACTAAAGAAAAGGTTAGTGCTTTATATGAAGTTATTTTTATTTATTTGTAACATTGAATTGAAGCTATATACTACTATTGATTGATTGAGATGAGTAGTTGTCTACCACTCACACCATCAATCATTACTGTTCGCTAGCCAGATCTAAGTGATCTAGACACCAGACTAACTGTTTCACTTGTTTAGTGCTGAGCTCAACTCATCTTTTGGTATTACTGCCTCTAACTGTTCTCTGAGGGTGAGATAGAGGAGATCGTGCGAGGAGGAGATGAAAGATTATGGGCGACCATGGGCCCAACTGAAAAAGACAGCAGAAAATAGAACAAAGTGGAGTTGTCTTGCTGAAGCCATATGTTCCACTCGGAACTCCAAGAGAACAATACTAGTAATATAACTTCTCCAACCCGATCCTATGTTAGCTAACATTGCTCATCGAGGAAGTCGATGGATTAGCATGCATGTAACACATATCCTAGCCATCGGAATAGATGTAGCTTCACAACCTGACCTATTGGCTTTTCCTGGATACCTAACATTCTAACATACATAAGCGTCGAACTTCCAGGTAAATAAGTCATGTGATTAAGTCAGTATACTTATACAATATGTGCAACTTCCTTTGTTTCACTTATTTATAAAAAATAAAGACAGTATTCACATGAAACAGGGCGTTACCACTGCATAACCATTCAGGTTATTCCAACTCACAAATCACCGCTTTTTTGAATGGCCGGTTATCTTTGTTTTTCCAGATGAAAATATTAGTCGACCATTTCTTATGAACTCCGCCTATATTATTCATTTTAATCATTACGTATGAAGTGTTTGGTATAGTGATTTTTGAGTTTGACCATAGATCGATATCAGTAGGGAGCTTTGAACGGGTGCTTCGTCCTTGTTTGGGACTCTATCAGCGCGCACCAATGACCCCACTATCAGGGATCAAATCCAAGGACTTTCTGGTTGCAAGGAGAGTTCGTATACAACTGAGCCAGCGGGACAGAATCCAATGTCCTGTGAACTTTAACTTCTACTTATTCGCGCTATATATATGGCATGAATGCATGCCTATGTCACCGACGAGGAATTTGTTCTTACTCCCAACTGATCTCCCTGGGACTTCAGGCAGCTTCATCCTTTCTATCTCTATCTAATGTTAGTTCGTGAAGAAAACCTAAGAATTTGACTTCATCCTGTAGAATCAATCCCAGACAAAGACTCAACAGTCTTCTAGTACTCCCTACTGTGGTTTTCAGTAGTTCCCTAACTAAATGAATTCACTTCGCTGATCAAATATTGAAATCAGTCAATGCCCCCCCCCGCCCCCACCCCGCAAAACCAACATTTGAAAATCAGTCGAATAAAACGGCTTGCAAATCTGCATTGGAACAACTGTTAGTCACCTGTCAGTGGACTTCAACTGCTTTGGTGACTCATCCCTTAACTCTTTGTCTTCTGACTTTAATAACTTATATTTTAACCGGTGATTTTTTCGTTTTGACTTCCATAAGAGATCACTTTTCTTAACCTTCTGAGTCCTATTCATCGATTAGATCATGATCTTTTCACTTGACCTGTTGCACGTCAAATTCTGATCTTTTTTATCTGACTACGTCATTGTTACTAATTTTTGTTACCGCCCTAACAACAAGTTTGTCAGTTGATTTTTCGAGAAACTTCTCTCTTTTAGTATATATATATCCTTATCATCCTGATTTCTTGTTTCCTTTGGGTTGGTGTTTAAAACCTGGTGAGCTATATCCACCATCTTGGCGTTAAACCAACTACGATCTTCATTGGATGTTACGACAAGAGGTTTGAGTTGGTTGTACAAGTTTTCAAACTCAACATTGAATACGAGGAACACAAAATTTAGGCTCAAGGAATAAAGCTTCTTTCTGAAGATATTCAGTTGTTGCAAGGCACAATGGCAGTTAATCCAGTGAAGCTTCTTGGTCTAAGTGCTATAAGTAAAGCCACATACATTTGACTCTTTAAAACTATCAGCATGTAAATACTCGCATTTGTATGGTTTACTAAAAGCACATAAACCCAATAATCCTCTACGTGTGTCCTATATTATCAGTGTGCTGCAGATCCCCCCAACACATCATTAGCTTACATTTGTTTTTCCAGTTGATGAAATGTCTGCAAAATAAAATACTTACAACACTGATACTTATCATTGTTTACGATAAATCGATCTCTTCAGAGTTCCATCGGTCGGTCCTCCTTGATAAGTTCACGTCGAGGAAATGAATGCTAAACTCGTTCTCCATTTCAAATGTGTGAATTTTATCGCCGGATGGCAACCATTGTAAATACATTTAATATATATATTATTCAAGTTACAATCACTATTACAAATAATAAAGGTGTCATCTACACATATCTTTTATACATTTGAAAGCTTTGGATTATTATAGGCTTCAGCTGACCGTTTTCTAGACTGGACATAAAACAGTCTGCAAGGAGAGGACCCAAGGGAGAACCCATTGCAATACCATCCTTCTGTCTGTAGATTGCTTCATTGAAAGTAAACTGTACATTCAATGTACATCTCAAAAGTAGTTCTTTCAGATCTGTAGTGGGTATCCCTATATTCAATTTGTTGTCTTCAATATATTTGCATATAAAACATATGGTTTCTGTCAGTGGAACGTTCGTAAATAGGGATTCTACATCCAAAGACAACATATGTTTATTCGACGCATTTATATCCTGTATACATTCAACAAATTGGAGGGAATGATTAGATAGCTGTCCCCTGACAGGTTCGAGGATTTCAGCTAGCCACCCAGCTACTGGATGATAGGGTGATCCAGACATATCCAAGATAAGGTGGAGTGGAAGACCAGCTTTGTGTATTTTCGGTAGACCATAAAGTCTTGGTATTAGAGATCCTGTTGGTCTGATACCCACTACAGATCTGAAAGAACTACTTCTGAGATGTACATTGAATGTACAGTTTACTTTCAATGAAGCAATCTACAGACAGAAAGATGGTGGTACTGCAATGGGTTCTCCCTTGGGTCCTCTCCTTGCAGACTGTGTTTTATATCCAGTCTAGAAAATGATCAGCTGAAGCCTATAATCCAAAGTTTTCAAATGTATAAAAGGTATGCAGATGACACCTTTATTATTTGTAATAGTGATTGTAACTTGAGTAATATATATTAAATGTATTTAATGGTTGCCATTCGGCGATAAAATTCACACATTTGAAATGGAGAACGAGTCTAGCATATTCATTTTCTCGATGTGAACTTAACAAGGAAAGGAGGACCGACCGATGGAACTCTGAAGAGATCGATTTATCGTAAGCTGCTGTCATGGAATAGTCAGTTAACTGACAAATTTCTACTTATCATCATTGTTGTTATTTGTTTTATTTCACCGTCCAGCGTTTTCAACACATGAAATTAAGATTCAGCGTAATTGTGGCTGTTTCTTACGGTTTCTTACACACACACACACACACACACACACACACACACACACACACACACACACACGATCTCCTGTTAGAAATGTCTAAACTAGTTTAATGTTCTTCATACCTTAACAATTATTATTATTATTGTGCATACTAAATGTCTGCTATTTCTTATTTTTGAGAAAGAGACAGAGAGAGAGAGATCCAAAAAAAGTAGTGATCAGTTTTTCCAAAAGTTTTTTTTCGTGATTTTATAACGGCATCTCTCTCTCTCTCCCTTACTCACTCAGTCACACGCGCCCACACATACACACACACACAATCCATTGTCCTCTGTATACCCTCTCTTTCTTTTTGCTGACTTAGATTGATGAGCAACCTTACTTACTTCGTTGAAATCAGCTGATTTTAAAATTCCTATTGAATACATGATTGTGTATTTTAATTATTTATTTAATTGATTCACATCACAAATCAATTTGGCAGTCTTTTCAGATGGTTCTAACTAACATTGTGCTGCATATATTGTCTCTGTTGCCAATTATTGGTATATATGAAGAAGGGGAATATATATATGTATACATGGTACCATTGTAACAACAGAAGGCAAGAGTCAGGCAACAGATCATTTATTAAGGAAATCAACGCATATTTATATATTTTCATGTACATTACTATGGTTATTTAAGCAAACAAACACAGTCTTCCGATTGGTTGTTTCTCACGTAAAGTTAATCTTTCATCTATTTGTGACTGTTTCTTGAATGTCAAATCATCTATATGTTAACTGCATCCGCCTACGCAAAGTCTGCTGTGGTCGGTTTTTGAATCAATCTTTGTTCACATTTTCTCACGACAAATCTTGGGAACGTAAACATTGACGTAAATTACTGTCTACCAATTTGGCTAGTAGACAGCTCTCACCACACCATGATTATTTTCGTTTGAAAAGTTCTACATATTGAGTCTAATTTTAATATTAATTTAATATGACTACTGAATTATCCCCCTTTGTCACCCACCCACCCTGTTTTGTGTATTCTAGTGCTAAAGACATTCAATTGGATGACTTGGAAGAAACACTTGGACAAGTGGTAAGTCGTGTTATATATTATACACTTTTTATTTGCCTACTGGAATTTTACTTTCTCAACGTGTCAGTGTCAGTTTTCTTATTTTGTAAGTCTTAGCCGATCAGATTGATTGATTGGCATGTGTAGTAGTAGTAGTAGTAGTGCTTGTTAACCAGATTGAAGTGATTTTTTAAAATAATAATGATAATCTACTTTATTCCAAAAACAGTACTTATAATGCAGAATGGAATTCTCAGCATTTGTCACAATATTGCATCTGATTTACTTAAAGTATAAATAAAATTACAGATTAAAAAAAATTAACCAGAGGAATTTTCACACGTTTACGATATAAAGTCAAAAATATTCGAAGCACGAGTTGACACTATTAAATATAATAATAATAATAATAACAGTGAGTTTGTTTCAAACGGTATTGTCGATTCAGTTTGGAAACTTTAGCATGTTATAGATTATTGGATCTAATGTTCTGTTGATATAGTATAGTGAGGGTAAATACAAAATGAACAGTTATAACACAGCTTAAATTATATCCACACTTATGAAAAAAAAATTGAGAGAGGATTATAAATATAAGAAATACAATAACAATAAAGTTTGATGCTGTAAGGGTGGAGGAAATGGTTTATTTAGTGGTGCTAAGAAGGTTAGTTAGTTCATGCCTGACACTATTTTCATCACATAAAGTACGTGCTAAATATGGTATAGTGGAATTTTTATACTTAGACGTACGTGCATAAATTCTTCTGAAAAGACTTCTTGTTTTACCTGAGGAGACACAAGGTTGGAGCTGCAGGTAGAGTGGGTGTGCAGAGTCTGACAAAATTCCTTTAGCAAATTTGTTGCATGACATCAAGTGCCTATCGGTGACAATGTCAATGATATGGCCCAATGGGATATCACTCGCCCTACTGACAGTCTTCAGAGTTCTACGAAGTATGACATAGTCTTTTTAAGCAATCCAGGGGAAAGAATAAGGGTGAACAGTAAAGAAGAATAGGTAAAATACACGAGTTGACAAACTGTAAGAGGAGTGGTTGGGTTATGCCTTAACTTCTTAATGTAAAAAGTCAAACGAAATATTCTTTTAGAAATCGCTAAGACATGAAAAGACGAGGATAGGTCAGAAGAAAGAATTAATCCAGGATACTTAACTTCAGACTTGGTTTGTATATCAGTATCATCAATTTTGCAAGGGTCATAGGAACCAACGGCTTCATTTAATTTTTGTTTACATCGGAAACTGAAATTAACAGTCTGACATTTGGAAGGATTTAGTTTAAGGCCATTAGACGAAGACCATTTGCTAACTCCTGATAGAAGGCTGTTCATCTTAGTACAGTCTAGCTGAGAGTTAACAGACATTGAAATAGTTAAATCATCCGCATACTTAACAAAGTTCATTTCATCAGAGTGAGGCAAGTCATGCAAGAAGAAAGAAAACAGAAAAGGAGAAAGGACAGCGCCTTGAGGGACACCAGCCTCAGTAAGCAATGAAGTGGACGACTTCCCCTGACATATAGTGTACTGCTTTCTTCCTGAGAAATAAGAATGGAGCCATTTGACAACCCAACAGTCAGTTTGAGTTTCAGCAAGCTTGTTTAGTAAAATGTCCCTAGGTACTGAGTCGAAAGCAGATGTGTAATCTAGGAAGGTGCAGCGAACCAATTTACCCCCCTTGTCTAAGCTTGTGGTCAAATCAAAACCAATAACTAATTCATAAGTTCTTTAACTGTAGATTTGAGCCAGCCACATAGAGAGATGTACACTGCTTAGAATCAATGGCTAGGGACTATTGGTGGTATGGCTCAAAATCGTTCTCAGTGGCACAGATGCATTCACTCTTTGTAGTACCTCAGATCCATTTAGTTCTCATGTTTTCGTACGTTTCTATTCTTTTTCCGGTTCATTTCTGCTCATTATAGTTCATTTGAGTTTTACTTCCTTTTCTCTGCCTTTGCGTGCTATATGGAGCATGGCAATTTAAACTTCCTCACTTCTGTTCAAAGTTGAATGTTAAAACTCAGCCAATCAGTCAATTACATCACTAGTTTCTAACCTAAAAATTACCTACGCAATGTTTCCACAGAGACGACAGTCAACGTATGCTCCTTACGCAACAACCGGTTTTTGTGCACGTTGCCCAATGAGTGCTTTTTTATTAAAAATGTTTTATGCCTGAAGTTTGACAACCAGATAAGCTCTGATTGGTAATATGCCTCTATCTGACCATTGATAGTTGACGTTCTTTGTCATTTACTCATCAATCTCCATTCATCACTTATATATGCCTGGATGGAATAAATTTCTTACACGTTCTCAGAAGTTTCCAATTTAGCTAAATCATGGATCAAAAATCAATACTGCTGCGTAATCTATAACTTTTCTAACAGTGAATGAGCGTGCGCATATTAAAGGTTGATAATGCGAAGACAGCTGTTGATAAAAGTCTGTAACGTGTTGGAAATCCTTTTCGTGACGCGTCAAGTTTCTGACTCATATAGAAGAACTGACTGATTTATTGTCGCTATTGAAAATCCCGATCTTGTTGTTTGTGCTGAGTTAGTGCAGAAGATTTTCGAGTTGATTTAAGAGTGATAAAGGTCTTTCTTGCCTTTCCAGTTCTGGTTGGTTTTTACATCTTCATCCGTTCCGCCTGTGGATAATTGAAGGAAGTGACCTCTTTCAAATTTATTCTGCTGATTGTGACTGGTGCTTGTTGTTGTTGTTTGGCTGATTATCTTCATCACCTCCGTCTTCTCTATGTTCACCTGGAGTTCTGTCTTCGCCGCCTGCTTCTTCAGCTAGTTTGTTGCTTTTCGCCTGTAAGTCTTCGAGTTTGTGTGAGATTAAACATAAATCATCCCCGAAATCTAGATCTTCTAGAGTTTTCTTATCAGTCCAGCATATTACTGTCTTCTTGCTACCCACAGTCTTACACATAATCTAGTCGACCACAATTAGGAATATCATTGGTAGTGACAGTAGGCAGCCTTGTCTTACTCCTGTATCCACTTCGAACGCTGTTGAATGAGGTTGATAAAGACTTGGGACACTACTGCATTCTATAGTGTTGAAGTAGTTTCCAAATTACTATGTGGTCAACGCTGCCGAAGGCCTTTTCAGAGTCGGTGATGTTAAGGTAGAGGTTTGACTGCCATTCTATGTTTTGTTCGATGATGATGCGTAGAGTTGCAATTTGACCAGCGCATGATTGATTTGCCTTTCCTGAATGCAACTTGTTCTTGGCTGGCGGAGTTCTGCATCCAGTGCATCTTTTATCCTCTTCAGAATGACACAACTTAATATTTTACTTGGTGCAGACAACAGCATGATTCGGTGCCAGTTCTTTCAGAGGCCTAAGTTGCCCTTCTCTGGTAGCCTTTCTTCCTTCCAAATTTTTTGCTGTAGTGACATGAGCACTCTTAAGAAGAAGAATAAGATCAATTTATCACCTTAAATTTAGAATATTCCTTAAAGCAACAAACAATTTAGTTTTTTTGGCCTAGTTTTATATCCTATTCTAGTAGTGAATGAATTATGAAGAACAATGGCGGTTACTTGGCTATTTAAATCCTTTGAGATTATGTGTTTTCCAATTTAAGGATTATTTTAATCTGCTTATTTTGCCCAGTATCTTTTTACGTAACTCTCAAGATTTGACCTAATATCTTTTTTTGTTTTGTTCACCCTCTCACAATACCTTTCTACCATCTTCCTTTTTAGATGAATGTTTTCAGGTATATTGAAGACAAAGATGTCTTTCAAAAGTTTTATAGTAAAACTCTAGCACGTCGTCTTGTCTATAATCAATCAGTGTCTGAAGACGCTGAAGCTTCTATGATCTCAAAGTTGAAAGAAGCATGCGGTTTTGAGTATACAGCTAAACTACAAAGAATGTTTCAAGATGTCAATGCTACAAGGGAACTTAATGCAAAGTTTATGGATTATTTACAGAAACAAGAGGAAGTTAATGGAAGTACAATTAAAGGAAGTAAGTGGATACATTTAATATCACTTTTGTTTGTTTGTTTTATGGTTAGGATATGTGTTGTCGCGGATGCTCTGAGTCATCGCCGTCCTCATCGAGCAATGTTATCTGACAAAAGACTAGGTTTAAAAAGAGTTAGGGATGATCAATTCACAACCTGACATCAGTCCATAAAGAATTGCACTGTTTGAGCCAATAACGCAGGGAAGTGTACACTGCCTCGTTGACATCCTCGAGAGGCTAAGAACCAATGGCTGGGGACTGTTGGTGATATGCCTCAAAATTGTTGTATTCACTCTTTGTAATCTTCGAGATCTATGAAGTCCTCATGTTTTCGTATGTTACTGTGTTTTTTTTCTGCGGCTCATTTCTGCTCACTATAATTCTTTTGAATTTCATCTTATCTCGCACTTTTCTCTGCCTTTTGTGTCATGTGGAGTATGTTATCTTGACCGCTTCACTTATTTTTAGGGAGTGTTGCATCAGCCCCCAACGGGTTGATTGTTGACGAAATCTCACTACAGATACAGAAGGCTCGTTCGGCATTTACCTGCCAACTTATGCCATATCAGGTGTAGATGTGATATCCGGCTGGCTGTCGACCAAAGGGCGTGTGTACTGCTCATCATTTCGTTCTGTCCTCTTTCATGGATGATTGTGAGTGAGACGTGACCATTGAAAGTGGAAGATAAGAAAAGGCCGACTAGTTGTCTTTGATCATAGGTGCCTGCGTTCTGTTTCCCATATTAGGTGGTATAATAGGGTGGGCGATATTGAGGTTAGGCGTCGAATGCTGTGCAAGAAGGGGAAATCAGTCAATGACGTCGTGAAGTTACGCTGATTAAGATGGTTAAGACATGTCTTACACATGTTTAGCCATCGGTCGCCTCCGTCGACAGGCAATGTTAGCTGATATAGGATTGATAACGTTGGAAAAGAGGGAGCTAGTGGTTGTCAAACGAAAACATGGCTTCATCAGTCAATGAAATCCACAACAGCTGCCACGTAGGGAGGTGTAGACTGGCTTCCTGGTTGAGGTCGTTGGGATGAGTAGGAACCAATGGTGGCTGGAGGACAATTGGTGATATGGCTGAAAATCGTTCTCAATGGCTGTCGCAGATGTACTGACTCTTTGTGATCTATGATATCCAATGAAACTTTATTGTTCTTCCATATTACTATTCTTTTTGCGTCATATCTCTCTTTTGAACTTCTCTTTACCCTTACTTTGTTTGGTACATGCAGGGAGTGTGGCAACTTGAACTGCTGCACATCTGTGTAAAGTTCTACGTTGAATACAGTCAGTTATGTCACCTTGAAGTGGTGCACTTCTGTGCACATTTGAATGTTGAAATTCAGTCAGTTAGACTTGATGAAAGGCATACTTCTTAGTGTTTACTTCCCGTAAGTGAATCACATCACATAAATTCAATCCATATAGTAATCCTTGACAACTCACAAACCCAAAGACTTTTTTTTATTTTTGTAGCTTTGTGATACAGTTAAGTGTTTAGTGTTAATGCTCAGCAAAGCGAAATGTCGTGGTTCATGCATTGGCTACCGAAATATGAAAACTTATAGTGATTACATAATCGTATTCAATAAATTCTTCTTCAAGCTCTTCAGTCGTAAATTCATGAATATTAGAATACAGTAGGCAGTAAAGACAAATCAAAAGTTATATCAGAAACGGTATTGGAGTACAAGTACAAGATGATGGAATCATAATCCTGTTAGTTTTACTGTTGGAGTATTTAAAGATTGTTATTATTACTATTTTTCCACTTGGGCTCCTAGTAGAACTTAGGACTTCAACAGCACATCTCCATTTCATCTTGTGCAGCATAGTCCTAATTTATTCACCTGGCTCCACGATTGTCTTATAAGCTTTCACCTCCCCACACGATCCTCTCCTCGTAACTCGTCGTTTGCCATTCGGATCCCGCTAGAGGGCCTGCTTAGCGTGTGTCCAATATGTTTCCATTTCTTTCGGCATATTTGTTGAGCGACGGGTTCTTGGCTGGTTCGTTGCCATAGGTCCTTGTTGTTAATCCTTGTCTGGTCAGCCGTCAGATATTCAGTATAGAGTCAGCAGAAACAGCTGTTGATGAAAGTCGGCATATTTGTTGAAAAATTGAGGTGGATCGGACACATGTTGAGAAGGCCATTGAGTGACACCATATACCAGGCCTTCAAGTGGAACGTCGAATAGAGAACGATGAGTGCGTTTCCCGAGGCCGGAATGAAGGAGATCGTGTGAAGAGGAGGAGGAAGTAAGAGTTCATGGTAGGGATGGATTATTTGATTACATTAGTTTGCGTAGTAGTGTATGGAAATTTGAGATATGTCCTTCAGACTTATATAGATCCTATATCTTCCTCAATGTTGTATAAGATAGGGAACATATTTTTCCTATGATAATCATAGATCATCTTGATTAGCATAGAATCCAAGCTCTTATGCTCTATAGACACACGAAGACTTAGAGAGGCTAGTGAGAAAAACAATCAAAATAAGACGAAACTGCATTGATCAAGTCTTTATCTTCTCAACGTTGTGGCACATGCATTCATTCTTTGTAATCTTGATGTTACTGTTCTTTCTCCCGTACCCTTCTACTCATGATGGTTCTTTCGAATTTCTTTTTTCTCTGTTCTCTACACCTACGTGTACCACATGGAGTGTCGCAAGTTGAAGTTCTGCACTCCTGTGGGAAGTTGCATGTTGAAAGTCAATCAGTCAGCATTTACATGCCTTGTTACTCTAACTTCAGTATTCAAAGTTTACATCTGCTTTTTACCTCTTATAATGTATACCGTAACGGGTTAACATAGTTTGTACTGTGTTCACTCTGTTAAATTTCCGTGTGGAACCATAGACCCTCAGGCTTCAGGCCTGTAAGGTTTCATTAACCGTGGTGGCGTTTTTTTCTCTCCACGAAATGAAGATGGCGGCAGCCTCATCCAACTTTCTGCTTTTTGTCTAAATGTGCTTTCGGTTAATAAACCAGGAGGCGAGGTTTAGAAGTGTGTGTCGGCCGGGAACCGAACCCTGTAACACGTGCATGGTTTGCTTGGCAAGGATTCCCGCCCCCCCCACTGATGCACTAAATTTCCGTGTAGATTAGATTAAATACAGGTATTTCTCTCTTTCTTTTCAATTCCATATTATCCTTGTATATCGTATTTGTCTGTTTTGATGAATTTCTGAAGCATCCTTTTTGTCGTGATTTAATTGTTTGTGTAAAAACCATATGTGTATGTATGTGTGTGTGTGTCCATAAATATAAATCACTTTTCAGAGTGTGTCACATCGATCTGTGTCTGCTGTGTAGTAGTCATGTGATGACGATGTTGATGGTGATGGTGATGCTTCCTTCTTTTTTTCCACACCAAACAGTTGCCTACCTAGTAAGATATTTTACTTCCCTCGCGTGACCTATTGCTGCTGTTGATTTTATCTATTTTCCAAAGTTATCAAAATATCCAAAACATGTTGTTCTATAGAGGAAGACGATTATAATCAGTTATAATGAATTCTTCAAAATCTCAAGTCACTTTTATTATTATATTATGTTATTATTATTATTGTTTTTGTTTCTTTTCATTTCACAATCTGTTTACATAATCGTGTGATTTTCGTCTTTAGTGCATTTCTGGTTTCAGCTGTAGCTTAAGCTACTCTACTGATTGCATATTAACACATTTTTTAGACCTATGTGATTTCAGTCATTTCTATCTGATTGTTGCTTGTTGTATTCTCCGAGGCGGTGGTTAGAGGTTTATAATTGCGTGGCTTTCATTGTCTTCCTGGACGACATTGCTTCATCGGTTAAACTTCAGTATTGAAGTGTGAATTAATTTCAATTCTTCATTAATGATGATGATGTCCATTGTATCTGTTGGACAACCTTTGTTGTGATTGGTTTTTATTGATTACTATCAGTATTGTGATAGATTTCATTAACTTGGAAAATTGACTTTCTCTTTGTGTCATGTGACTTATTCTAGTGTCTGGTTGGTCTGATTTGTCGGATTATTATTACTATTATTGTTTCCTTTAGTTCCTGGAGGAACATAGGCCTTCAACCGCACGTCTCCATTTGCGTTCGGTTCTCCGACAACGTTTTCACCTGGCTCCAAGTCTGCCCACATGCTTTCATCTCCTCTTCACATGACCTCCTCCATGTCATCCTCGCACTGACGGCCAACTCGCCACTTTCCATTCGGGTTCTACTCGAGCGATGGCCTGGCGTGTGATGTCACTTGATGGTTTGTTTCCTCAGAGTATGGCCAATTCATCTCCATTTCTTCCTGCATATCTGTTGCACAATGGGTTCCTGCTGTGTTGGTTCGTTCATTGCCAGAGATCCCTGTTGCTGATCTTTTCTGACAGGTCATCTGATCTTGAGTATTGAGCAAAGGCAGCTGTTGATGAAGTTCTGTAGTTTGTTTGAGGTGCTTTTTATGACGCGCCAAGTCCGCTGATCTGTATAGTAAGTAGCACTGACTGACTTCACATTGGATTTGAAAATCCGGATCTTATTTTTGATTCTGAGTGCTGTTGACCTCCACACACTTTTTTCCATCAATCAAATTGATGTCCATAGTTGTTTACGTGCACCGGTATGAAAGAATATGCATGTCGTGTCTTTTAAGAGATAGTTTATTTTCTTGGATTCGGAGTCGAAGAAGATGTCTTTTTAAAAAAAAAGAATAGATTTTTTATTAGAATTCATGCACTTTATCTTGTATATCTTGTCTTCTATCTCTTTTTGGTCTTTCAGTCTACATGGTATTGCTTGAAGCGATTGTGCGATATCTGTTCCGAATGGTTTCAGTATCCTAGCTGTTCATCATTCTGTAAATTATTTCATTAAAAAATTCTGGGAATTGCATGTTGTAGTTCATTAAATATTGTGGCTTCTATCGTTTTATGTGTTACAGGAATGAGTCGTGTTCCAGTGAATAAGGTTTCGATATATGCTAGCAGTAGCGTTTCACGTGTGATTTAGGTGTTGTACAATGGAATTTACATATTTTCTAAGATGTTAAATCTAACTAGGGTTACCGAATGACAGATTCTTAATTTTTCGTCCGTGGTTCAATAGTAGAACTCTCTCGTGAGCCACACAACAGGTCATGATTTGATTCCCCGTCGACTCACTCCTTAACCTAGTAAACCTGGAGAAGACGAAGGGGGGGGGCGATTGTGTTTGAATAGTTAGCAAAAAGAAAACCCTGTAAAACTCCAAAGCTTGAAGCCCCCATACTCTAGTCACGAGTTGGAACCCCTCGCTCCTGTCTATCAAGGATTTGCTCAACCAACCAACCCTCAAATAATCTGTATGTCTCATCGCCGATTGCATGAGATGTCAACTGATTGTTGGACAACGTTTTACTCAATTCAAACATAAGAAAAGATGGTTTAGTTTCAAATAAAATAAAATAGGGTTTACAGTAGCGTTTTGGGTATCATTTCTCTCTAGAGTTTTACTCATTTGTATATAATAACTATTTAACTTTATTCATTATAATCCCATTGAAGAGTTCTGTATTTATTTTACTTTATAGCTGATTTCAACATAATGATTCTCAGTTCAAATGCTTGGCCGTTTCAAGCACAAGCGCCTTTCTCTATTCCTGCTGAAGTAAGTGTTACTTTGTGTCAGATTCTGTTGCTCATTCATCCTCCTAAGAACACACTATTCAAAATACCTCTTCTCTATAAAAAGAGTATTATTATTATTATTACTACTATTCCCTTCGGTTCGGAATAGAATACAGGGATACAGTTGTACATCTCCATTCCCCTCGGTTCTCTTCAGTTCTTTCTAGCTGACTCCATAACTGACTATAAACCTTCAAATCATCACAGGATCTCCTTCATGTCATCCTTGAACCTACGACCAACTCGTCGTTTCTCATTTGGGTTCTACTCGAGGGCTTGTTCGCCGCGTGATGCTACCCAACACTCCTCTGAGCCTATGCCCAATCTATCTCTATTGTTTTCTGCATATTTGTTTGGTGATAGGTTGTTGGTTGGTTGGTTCGTTGTCAGAGTTCTTGGTCGCTTATCCTTTATGAGCTAGGCCATCCGACTTTCAGTATGGAGGCAGCGAAGACAAGTGTTAATGAAAGCCTACAGCAGCAGCCTGTCGGTAATGCTTTTGGTGACGCTCCAAGTCTCTAAGCCATGTCGAAGCAATGACTTGACACATGAATGTTGGAAATCCAAATTTTATTCCTTATCATGAGGGCAGCAGATTTCCAAACTGATTTCAGACTATTGAAGGTTTGTCGTGTTTTTCCTATCTTGGCTGGTTTTGACATCCTCATTCTTACTGTCTGTAGTTTACGCGATGTTGCATATATTTAAAGTGATTTTACCGAGTTAAGTGAAAAAGGTAACTCCTCTCGAATTCTTCCCGTTGATAGTGATTGATGCTTGTCACTTCTGTCTTGTCTGTGTTCACTAGAAGTCTTGTTTTCGTTGCTTGCCTCTTCTGTCAACTTGTTGGTTTTCACCTGTAGGCCTTCAAGTGTGTGTGTGTGTGTGTGATAGACATGAACCATCCTCGAAGTGCAGGTCTTTTTGTCTGTCCAGCGTATTCTTGTCTTCTCGATTCCCATGCACAGTCTCCGTTACATGATCCAGTCCACTACAATCAGGAATGTCATCAGTTATAGTAGCTGATCTTGTTTGTAATACTCATGTTTCCAAATTACTTCACGGTCGACACTATTGAAAGCTCCTTTTCAAAGTCGACGAAGTTGAGGTAGAGATTTGACTGTCATTTTATGCTCTTTACCAGGATGATGTATATCGTTGCGATCAGATCCTCACAGCATATACCTAGGTATACTTCATTCATTCTGTGAATTAGAAGAGTAAAACGATACTGTTTGTTGATCTTTAAGTGTAGACACTGGATCACAGTACTGTAATACTGCTATAATACTGCTGTAAAGGTTTAATGTTCAACTTCATGAAACTGTTGATTTCATTTGCGATCACATCACAAGCAATGGGATACACTTATATTAGATATAATATCTTAATATGTACAGAAATTATCAGGTTCACTTTCCAAGAAAAAAAGCATAAAAACAAATTGATGGTGTTGCGTCGAGGAGCCCTCTTGGGCCCCCCTGTTAGCCGATATATTCATGTGTAAATTGGAGAAACAAATGCAAGGTACGCTAGGATAATTTATGCTTTATAGACGTTATGTAGGTGATACACTCATCATTGGTAATAATAGTAAGTCTATTGAAAACTTTATCACTCTATTTAATCGTATTCATCCAAATATCCGAGTGACTTCTGAATTCGAATCGAATAACAAACTTGGTTTCCTGGATATTTCAATGACTAGGAGAGACGATGGAACGATTAAGCGATCTATATTTCGTAAGCAGACATGGAGTGGACAATATCTTCATTTCACCAGTTTTGTTCCTATCCAGTATAAGCGTTCCCTAGTGAAATGTTTTTTTTCATACGTCCGCAAAATATGCACGAGTGACACACTGATGGATGAGCTTCGACATATACATTCAGTTTTATTAGCTAATGGTTATCCAGAAAACTTTTTCAATTGTCACAGTAAGGATAGACCACATCTGGAAAAGACAGCTTCTGTACCAAAGAAAGCTATCTTTATTAACCTACCATTCAAGGGTGACCAGATTATGCAGTTGACAGCTGAAAGACTTTGGTCAGCCATCAAACGCACATTCTACTCCGCCGCATCTCTTTCCCTCACATCGCGAACACTTTCGATCGCTGTACCTACGATTAAAGGACGAAATTCTGTATCTACAAGTTCACCTGCAGTTGCGGTAACACTTATATAAGTAGAACCAACGGAATGTTCCAATGTCGTTGTAAAAAACATGTACCAAAATGGTTATTAAAACATATAGAAAATCCTAATGGAATTAATCTGAATAGAAATCCACCATCATCTACTATTGCAAAGCACTTATTAATATTCAGGTCACAAAATCAATATTGATGACTACTTGACCTATTTAAATATGATTGGTCATTAATTAGTATGTGTGTACTTTTGTTTTATATAACTGAGTAATTGTCATGCATTTTATTTCATCTTATTATTGTGAACGATGCTAGTTGTAAAGCTATTGTGATGAGAAACTACGAAACGATGCCACCATCTCGCGAAATTTGTCTTCTAAATGCCTTATTCAAATGTTACCTTTTTTATTGGCAATATTTGTTTGATTTTCTTATTTTCTTTTTTTTGTAAATCTCTCTTCATTTTCTCTAGTTGGAACAATGTCATAACACATTTCTCTCCTTCTATCAAGAACATCATACTGGTCGGAAGTTGACATGGTGTTATCATTTATCGCGAGGTGAAGTAGTCACCAACTATACTAAAACCAGATATATATTTCAGGTAGGTAGTAGACCATTCGTGTCATTATATGTATATAGGTGTCACCTCTAAATGGAACTATGACCTGAATAGATTTAAACACACTGTTAATTGAGATAATAAATTATCTTGACAACAATATTGATTGTCAAGTTTTTTTTCAATCTTTTCTTGACCCCTACCATGCTAATTAGGTATTTAAAAAAATAATAAATAAGGTCACAGCTTTATAAGGAAACAGTTACGTGTATAAAAAGCTCCATGCATTATTAAATCACTTTTCACAGTATGAGTTGTCAATTTTCTGTCATGTATGTTGCTTGCGTCTATGCAAAAGGCAGCTGTTATTATTGTATTGTTTCCAATGTGTTGTACATTGTTCACTCGGTTAGAGGGTAATATGCCTGTGAAAGGGATACTCAAAATGCCACTGAATGTGATGGATGATAAAGGATACCTTCAAATAGACCCCAGTTCGAATGAGCGTCCCTTTATAAACATCAAGTAAAAATGAAGCATTTCTGATCGCAAAATGCAATTTTCTATGTGTTTAACTTTGTGAAACCCAAGGCCTAGATATATGAATGACTGTGAGGTGACTTTTACTGCCACCACAGACTAGCAAGTACTCTAAAGCCATCCTCCAAATAAAAATATCTCATTTTTCTAATTCAAAATTTAATTTCTATTGTTAAATTTTTGTCATAAACCAACATTGCAAACCACTAGGGGGAGTACTATTTTGAGTCTCTTCAGCAGTGCACACACATGACCCCACCCAGGGATCGAACTTGGGACCTTCAGGTTACAAGACCGAGGTCGTTTAACTACTCAATCACTTGAGCCGGCTGGGATTCAATGACCCGTCAATTCTAACTTTGCTTAATCAAAGATCCTCTGCCCTATTCTAATTGACTCCCGACGAATATTAGAAATTCTAACTTTGTCACTTTGTGATTTAGCGCTGCCCCCACTGATGTCTTTGATGAGCATCCACTTTACCTTGAGATGTTGACATATATATATTATATATATGTATATATATCAAATATCTAAATAATATGTGCCTTATGTCACTTTTGTGAACTCATCCCGAGGATCCCAACCAGAAAGCCAGTCTACACCTCCCTACGTGACTGGCTGGCTGGCTGGCTTAAACTAACTGTTGTGGATTTCATTGACTGATGAAGCCATGTTTTCGTTTGACTACCATTAGCTCTTTCTTTTCCAACCTGATCCTATGTCAGTCAGCTAACTTTGCCCGTCGAGAGAGGCAACCGATGGCTAGGCATGCACAACACATATCCTAACCATCTCAATCGGAATAACCTCACAACCATGTCGATTGATTTCCCCTCCCTACATAGCATTCGACTGAAGCCTAACCCCAATATTGCTCACTGTATTATACCTACCACCTAACACGAGAGACAGAACTCAGATACCTATGATCAAAGATAGCTCACCCTTTAGTGTCTTCCACTTTCAATGGCCACATCTCATTCACAAGCATCCATGAAGGAGAACAAGGCGAAATACTGAGCAACAGCCGGCCGAATATCACGTCTACGCCAGAGATGGCGTAAGTTGGCAAACAGATGCAAACGAGCCTTCTGCATCCTTACTGAGATCTCGTCAGCGATCAACCCTCTGGCGTTGGCTGATGCAACTTCCCAAACAGGTGAATTGATCAGCACGCTTGACCAAACACTTCACTCGCTATTTTTAAATGAGGAGTCGATTTAATCCAGTCCTGTAGGCTGCATGGTTGTGAGTCCTCTAGGCAGTAGAAACGAATACCTTGAAACTGTTGGTGATATGGCTCAAAATCTTCCTCAGCGGCGCGGATGTGTTCACTCTTTATAATTTCCCAAGACTGTTAAATCCTCGCTGTTCTCTACATAATTATTCTTTCTCTGTCGCGCACGTTGGAAATTAAGTCAGTTCTTCTTTCAAATATGATTGATTTTTAAATTTGCACAAAGCAACAACTACAGTTTTAGCAGAATAAAATGGTACCATATTTTATTTCGTCGCCTTCTCTTCAGCTGCTTACAGGGCAAAAACATTATTAAATGTAAGCAGCTGAAGAGAAGGTGACAAAATAAAATATGGTACCATTTTATTCTGCTAAATCTGTAGTTGTTGCTTTGTTTAAATTCATTAAGGGGAACAAATGTATGAAATTTTTAAATTGTTAAATACAACTTTTCTTTTAAAACTTTTAAAGTCCTGTTGCTTTTACAGTATCATAATATTTATGTTTCTTTTTTTTTGTTTAAATTTGTCTACAGGTATCAACATATCAAATGTCTGTCCTTATGTTGTACAATGCATCTCTTGTCTACACAGTTTCAGCTATTCAACTACAGACTGGTATTGAAGAGGCTACTTTACTGCAAATCTTACAAATTCTACTTAAAGCTAAAGTGTTGAAAATTGTATCTGACAGCAATTCTGAAGTGGAACCAAGTCAGACAACAGTCTCTGCAAGTGACGATTCTAGTGAATCTCAATTGACACCAGATACACATTTAGCACTGTATACAGATTATAAAAAGTTAGTTTTAATTTTTTATTCACAATTGTTCTAATAGAGAGTACTTGACTTAAAGTTGTAGCTTATTGGCTTAGACACTCGGCTTCCAACAGGTGAGAGACAGGGTTCTAACCCTTCTCCTCGCCTAAACGCATCAACGTTTGGGCAACCTCGGGGGTGGTAGTAAAATCAGTCCTCAAACACACACACCATACGAGTGGCTCATTGTCAACTGCATGGAACTGTACAAGTGGTTGTTGAGTAAAATTGAGTTGAACAATAGGAGTACTTAGAACCGTCAAGTTGTCGGTATTCTCCGTTACGGTTTCTTTGAGTTGTTCCCTCCCCCCATTTACCTCTTTGTCTGTTGTATGGCTTGTAGTAACTTGAGCTGCTGCGCTTTTCTGTAAAGTTCTGTATTGAAAACTTAATCAGTCACTCGGTTAGTAGATCTTAGGAAAAGACATAAAGACGGTTGCAGCGAAGGGAATTTTCTTTTCAACGAAGTCACCAACACTAGGTTGTACATTCGTGAATATACATAAGAAGGGGATGAGAAAATTGCAGAACAATTTCTGGTCGAAGGATAAAAAAATCATATAAAATGAATAAGGAACTTTCAGATAAAAAGAAACACATATTCGGACTTCTGGATACATAGTGTTAGCTTGAATTTTCGTATCGCTAATGCTTCAACTATGCCCAAATGTGTCTTCTTCGCTGCAACCGTCTTTTTTTTCTCCCTATGATATAATATGTACATTACCTAACTAGTTAAACCTCGCCTAGTTTACCAACTCGCTGGTTTTTTAGCCGGTCCCAAGCCCGGAAAAGAGGGAGGTTTGGGCGTGGACTAGCGACTCTACCTTGGAAAATCAATCAAATTACTATAGAGACTTCAGCGCACAAGGAAAGTATTCAAAATACTATTAATCAATAGGATATCAAAAAGACTTGCAATCTGAGAATCTATCCAGCAGGTGGTATCTATCACATAATACAGCAATCTCAAAAAGATCTCTGTCTCATGACTCCAGTTAAAAAGAAGTCTCAGTAGAGAGGTGAACTTGCTGAGAAATATATGTAAATAACTTTAAAAGGAAAAGTGCCAGCATTATTTAGTAGCAATTAATTGACGTATCTGTCGGTTTGTGAAGGTAACTTAACGGTTAGCGTATGTTTCATATTGTATTATCTTATATTCCCTAAGAGTATTACTCACCATTGTGGTCTCCTGCATTACTAAAATTTCAAATTCAAGTGGAGTTAGAAGTTAAAAGTTGTACTGGGATGACAATGACTGTTGGTCATGTATTACTTGCCTCTGGGGCTTAAATGCACAATGCACAAGTTTGTTTTAAAGAACTACTTATTTCTTGAATTTTAAATTAACAGCATTTTTAGGCGGTTTTTATGTAGTGCTGCTGAGTAATTGCAGCACGTTGGCTGTTGTTTGCGATTTTCGGCCATATATGATAACGTTTCATACCACGGATTCGAACTATATTTCGGACCCGAACCAAGGATTCGAATCTAAAACAAATATCCTTCATTCCACGATACCACACCATAGGTGGACCATTTCTCCGGTTTTTCCATCCAGTCCTAGGGCTAGCGAACAGAGATCGGAATGGAAACCTCAGGGATGACAGTCGTAGCACATGTCGAGCCACCGAGGCCGGTGTTTTCAGACGACGATACTCAACGAAGGGTAATCTCCAACACACACTACCAGACCTCAGAATTACTCATATGATGATACCGTCGGACGCAAGCAAGGATGATCAGATACTCAGAGTCACCGGACATCCGTGGCTCGGAGGGGCCAGGTTTCACAGGTGTACAACAAGACTTCACTCACCGAGACATTGTAAACCCTACATTCGACAGTCAGACTGACGTTACGACGGCTCCAGAGGTGGCTCGAATTGGCTTGTGCCACTCTAGCTTCCACTATACTGATAGCGATCTCGTCCGTCACACCTCCTTCATCACTCACACAACTACCTGGATACATGAAGTTATCTACAACTTCAAGCGGTTCACCTGAAAGGGTGAGTGCAGGTACAGGTAACAGTCCTTTGTACTTAGACGGCGCAAAGCACATAACATACTTACAGACACTAATCGTCAACTGAATAAATGTGATTCGGGCAATGTGCATGTTATTTATTGCACACTAAGACAATATTGTCCGCACACTCGTGGTCGAGAAGTCTTTCTCCAGAAGACACAAAGACTGTGACTTCGAGTGTAAGACATAGGATTTCAAAATGCTCCAAAGGATCCCCCATAGTTTCGATGTCAAGTATGTAGGGGAGTTGTTAAACGTTAGCGTAATGCAACTGCCTTTCAACCAATGGGTCCAAGTTTCGAGTCCTGCTCCGCCTACAACAGCTGTTGCACAATAAACGTGAAACTTAACCCTGTACCGAGTGACTGATCTCTATCAGCATGTCAAGGAAATAAATTGACATAGAAGCATAACATCATTAATCATTATCATTATTTGTTGTTTTGTTTTTGGTTTCTCTCTTCCTTTTGTTTAGAAATAATTGACAATTTAATAAATTAAATTTTTTTTGTTTTGTTTTAGTAAACGTGTTCGAGTTTATTTGAATGTTCCACTGAAAAGTGAAACAAAACAAGAGATTGAACAAACTCTGGGCAATGTTGAATCTGATCGAAAGTTAATTGTTCAGGTTAGTTGATGTACTTTTATGTGCTTTGTTGTTGTTGTTTTTGTTTTCAATTGCTAATTTGTAAGAATTCGATTGATTATTACAAGTTACATCACGAACTGATACTTTAGGTGGTCAATGGATTTCGTTCTGGTGGTTGAACTAACAGTCTGCAAGCTGCTCGCCTAGTAGTAGTGACCTATAGGTCCTTAGGTTTTATCCCCCTGATGAAGTTATGGATGGGTACCGCTCAAACAGCTGTCCTGTACTCTTGGGTTTTCATAGTTTTTGTGAAGTCTGGGATACTGCTCGGATCCCCAGATGAAAGCAAGTGGTTGTCTTAAGGTGGGGGTCACCCTCTGTCGAAACTTTGACTTGAAGTCTGATCCACACGGCAGTGGAGCATCGACGCCAGGAGGTACGTTCCCATGTTTTCCGCTGATTGAAACCAGTTCAAACTGCATTCTATCCTTTCGGGTTTTGAAGCCCATGTACACTACCACAGGTTTGAAATCAGAGTTTTCGAATTTGCCTAGGATGTAGACTTGCATGTCTACCCGTCTGCTGGTAGTTATATAAGCATGAGGGACCTCCGAACTCGTCTTTTCACTTTTGTGTGAGGAATCCCCCAGCTATGTGAAGGCAGTAAATAATTTACTTACCTGACAGAAGCTGTAAATGCCTGGCCACATTAGAGGATTTCAAGAGGGAGACTGAGGTCTACCCACCGTCGGTTGCACCAGGTCGTTTATTATTTATACCATTGTGTGTTGTTGTAACACAATCAATCGTTAAAGGAAATTTTCTTTTCGACGATTCATTTTCATAACCTGTGCAATCGCAATTATATTTAATAAAGGATTCATAAGACCAAACAGCTACTGATCAAAATTTGTCCTCGAAAACGTATTACCTAATGTAAGGTGTAGTCTAGACGGGATGACTAGTTGGAAATTAGAAAAGGAATCAGAAGTTGGTATGACGTAATACGTATGAGAAAATGGACTACTAATCAATATACTTGTGTAGAGAGTGGATAAGAAATAGTGGAAAGACAATAAAGTGTTTTTATACAATCTGTATGAAAACGCATTGTTATTAAAAAAGCAGCAGTAGAGTGATAATAAAATAAGGATGATGAGAATAATAATAATAATAATAGTAAACTTACATAATAAAAAGAAGCAAAATTATAGTGAGAACGTTACTCTGACCACGATAGGCCGGGGAAACATATTTTCTTCTCTGTTTTCTGCGTCTTTTTCCGTAGGACTCAATATGTGAGTATTTCCTTCACAATCGTAAAAAGGTGATACGTTTCTTCAGTTGGATAGATTAAGTTTAAATTTGAAGTGGGGCAAATTAAACCATAATATGAATTAAAAGTCAATCGGAACCAAGAATATTCTTTTCAATAATTTCTCCTCTTCAGGTTCTTACAATTATAAAATATTATAATATTTGTTGTCGTTACAATAAAGGCCAGTAATGCGGCGGAAATTTTTATAACCGGAACTTCGTATCCGAAAAGAACACGTCCAGACGCTGTTCCTATCGTGGCCAAACTTGGATTGATCATTCTTCTTCTCACCTAGAGTGCTCCTTCCCCTTAACCATCTTGGCTTTTTTTTGTTTTTCCTTTGCTTATTATTACAATTATTACTATTATTATTATTATTATTAATATTATCATTATTCGTCATAATTTATGCCCTTCATGCAAACATTCTCTCAATACTATCGAATTTTTCGTTTATACTATCCGGACTTATTAATAGTGATATTATCTCTTTTCTCAATATATGCCGCCACCTGTTTCATTTCACATATTCGTTATTTCATTATGAATCTCTCATTGCAGTCTTACTATCTCCTGTTTAACACAGACCACTTTGTACTAGCCACCCACTCACCTGACACCTTTTATAACCTTGAACTGACTTGTCAATTTTCCTACCCCACACTCTACAAATCTATTATGATTAATCACCACCATTGTCTCCCGTTTTACAATATTTTGTAGTCGATTTCAGCCTAGCACGACGTTTGACACACAAATACGACTATTTATTTTGACACCCCATAACTAATCTGTTATTCTACGTAACAAATGTATCCGCCGCATCACTATCTGGCCATTATCGTAAGGACAACAAATATCATAATATTTTATAATTTTAAGAACCTGAGGAGGAGAAATTATTGAGAAGAATATTCGTCGTTCAGAATGACTTTTAATTCATAATATGAGAATATTCCACACTCTCAAATCTTAAGTCATAATAGGCAAAACCCACCTGTGACCTTGAACCGACCAATCAGAATTCAGACACAGAAAAAGTCGTTTGATTGGTGAAAATTACACTAAATTTATATTGCAAACATGGTATTGTAAAGAAGAAAAGACCGATGAGGCTCGAAGGAATGTTTATTAGGAAAACCTGATTGTAGTTACATACATTAGTTATACCATATCTCCAAGGCTTTATTTGCACATCTTTTGGAAATTGATCGAATATCTACCACATTCGATACCTTGTTGAGTTCTACACAGTTCTGTTCTTCGATTGTTTTTTCCAGTGTCGGAAACATATTGTTACTTTTCTGAACTCCTTTTACTGATATAATACATATACCTGATTATAAGTAGCACTCACCACAGTATTACACTGTATATTTTGTAGCTTATGTGATGTCACGATACAAATGCTATGTACTATGCGCGATGTATGCATTCATCCAGGTGATTGTAGGTCATGGCACTCTCAGATCTATTGATATTTCTGACACTATTCTTCAACATTCTCATAACTCTAACGATAATTACTAGATCCTAAACCTTAATCCATAAAGCGACAACCCTACCTAACAGTATACATTTGCAGAAAAAGTACCTAGTAAATAAGTAGAATTCTGTATCTACCTTCTCTTAAAGGGTAGAGATGGTTTGATCTGTAATGACATTTCATAACATTCCCTGTATATCTAATCGGCTCTTGAAGGTCAATTTTTGAAAGACCATGACTTTGGCTATGATACTTTTTCTATAGTTGGTTTGTTGTAAGGGTTAGTTTTGTTTTTACGAGATGATCACGGATTGATATCAGTTAGAGAACCATTGAAAACCAGAACCAGAGAGTTCTGAACAGCCAAGTGTTTCATCCTAGTTTGGGAATCATCGGTAGCACTCACCAACCACCATGGTTCGAACCCAGAACCTTCCGGTTACAAGGCAAGCTGTCTCGTATACCATTCAGCCACCGGGACCCGATTCAATGTTTCATGAATGATACTTTTACTTCGCCTTGAAGTGAAAATAGGTTTATTCTCATTTCATATTTGACTTCACTGCCTTCCACTGTCTCTTGTCTTACCCTTTAAATTTCACTTCAATAAATTGATATAGTCTGATGGTTACATTTCTTTATCTTATGCAAACCGTGTTGTTTTGTAGTGATATTTTATTTTTGTGTCTTTTATGTATAACTTTGTCTAGACGGAAGGTAAACGGCATTTTGTTGCTAGGCTGGCTATTTATCGGATACATACTCTAGCATATAAATGTGTCCAAATACTAGTTCATCACTGATGGTGATGACGATGATGATAAATAAGCCTTCTATCTCTTTTGATGCATGTGACTCTTAGCAACATGACGTTCACTATAATATCAAGTCTATTTTCTATTTGCCTGAAACGATTGTTTTTTTCATTACAAAACTAAAAGAATCAAAAATTTTTACAACTGTCTCTTTTGTTCTACCCTACTAATTTGTTCTGTTTTATTTTATTTTTTTGTTGAAAATCTAGGCCTGTATAGTACGAATTATGAAGACTAGAAAAGTGATGAAACATCATCAGCTGATGTCTGAAGTTGTAACACAATTAAGTCCACGATTTAAACCTACTCCCTTGTTAATTAAGGTAAGTTTCGTGTGTGTGTGTGTGTGCGTGTGTGTAAATCAATATATATATATATATACTCTCACAAAACTATTTGAGTCATTTTATACGCGTCAAATTACTTTTTACTACAGGAATTTGATATTGGTTACAGGTTGATAACAGTTGGAGAGAAAACCAGCCACGGGAGTACTGGACAGCTGTTTCGTCCGCCTAGTTTGGGACTCATTGGCAGTACGCACCCACTGGGGTTTGAATCCAGGACCTTACGGTTACATGGTGAGCTCGTAGATCATTCAACTACTGGGAACCAACCGACCAAATAACCCATGAATTCCAACTTCTGCCAATTCGCGATGTATATAGTGCAACTGGCAGCTAGTGTTATAGGCGGGTATCTGATCTCTTACCTTACTTGGTGGACTGGTACTCTCAGGTTTTCGAATGGTTCTGTAACTTATGTCAACTCGTTATGGATGGTAACTGACAGTACAGTGGAATCCAGACTGCTGGACGTGTTCATCGTATTTGGGACTCGTTAGCTAAACATACGGCTTTGGGGGATCGACTTGCGGCGGGTGGCGCACTCCTAAACCTCACCTAACCGTTTTTAAGCTCGAGAAAGATAGGAGGTTGGGCGTGAGGCTAGCAACACTGCCGCTACTGAAACTTGAAAGGTTTTTGTTGTTGTATGTTCCACTTGAAGCATACAGCGAGCTGGGGTGTACGTCTATCGTCAATGACACTGGAACTTGGCATTTTATCCACTGGAGTACTGGCACGCTAATAAGAAGGAAACTACCTCTTTTAATATACAAACTTGTTTGATGTAACATTTAGTCTTTCACAAAAATTCCACCGGTTCACATTTCCCTCTTGAACCAACCAGTGGATTACATTTTTGGTGTAGAATAAATGAAATTTTATTTAAATAGTACGGTCAAACAGATTAGTTTAAAGTGTTAAAACATCAGGTTTTATTATCATTATATATCTCCTTGGGTTTCGAGTGAAACATTGGGATTTAGCAGCACATCGACATTTCATTCTGTTCTCTGCCGTATTTTTTCTAAGTGGCTCTACAAATGCCTATTAGCATTCACTTCCCCCCCAGATGATCTCCATTTCACTCCCTCACCCACTCACAACTCGTCATTGGTTTCCTATTTGGGTTCTACTCGAGGGCCTGGTTAATGAATGGATTTGACTCACTGGTCTACTCAGCGTATGTCCAATTCATCTCTATTTCCTACTGCATATTTGTGTGTTGGTTCGTTGCCATGCTTCCTTGTTGCTTGGGTTATTCTTTGCAACCGGCCATCTGACTGGATCTTCAGTATCGAGCCAGTTGTGATGGCAGCTGTGTTTATAAAAGTCTATGTAGTCTGTTAGAAATATTTTTGGTGCCGTGAAAAGTCTCTGAACCATATAGAGAGGCATGACATGATATTGGTTGTCATCAATTAGAAGTTGCTTAATTTACTTCCGGCTATGATACACATCAATATAATAAAGTTCACTATTACAACCAGACAAATGAAATACAATGGATGGATAGTGAGCCGTTATTATAATTAGTCGGTAACACTAGAAGACGAAAGCAACCCGACGTATAACAAGCCGTAGACAAGAGAGTTGGGGCTGTTGGTTTTTTCGTATTGATTATTATTTTTCCCTTATGTTCCGAGTGGAATATAGGGCTTCAACAGCACATCTTCACCATGTCCTATTCTCTACAGTTGTCTTCAGCTGGCCCCACTATTTCCCATAGCCTCTCATCTCCTCCTCCCACTACCTTATCCATGTCATCCGTGGATGCCCAACTGGTCGTTTTCTATTCAGGTTTCACTCGAACTATAGTCTGGCATGTGATGTCATTTTACAGCCTCCTCGGCATGTATCCAACCTATCTTCTACATATTTGTTTGGCAATAGGTTGTTGATTAGTCCGTCCCCGGAGTTCCTTGTTGCCAATTGTGTTTCTGGCCGACGACTTGATTTTCAATATAGAGCTCATGAAGGCCGTTGTTGATAAAAATCTGCAACCTGTAACAAATGCCTAGTTTACGAGTTCGTTAGTTTTTTAGCCGGTCCCTAAGCCCGAAATTGGGCATTGGGCTAGTGACTCCACCCCGGAAAATCAATCCAAACACTACAGAAACTTCACAACACAAGAGAAATATAAAAACCAAACTTATTCTTCTTTGGAGTCGGAGAGATGAAATGATGCTGTCTGGGGAAAGCCTTCGAGAAGCCAGTCAACCGACTTATCTCCTTTCGATGAAAGCAAAAATAAGCATTGCGTAGTGGGCTGTTAGCTAATCCTTTGAAATACAAGTGAATATAAACTAGTCGTAGTATAGTGATAAGTCAGAAGAAGTATGATGCTAAAGAATCACAATGAGATAATAATGAAGAGAATATAAATTGAAGATCACTTGAAAATGAACAATACTCAAAAATACTATACTGCAAAACAATAAGATAAAAGAATTGTAGAGAAACAATAAATCACCATGGCAATGCAAGATCAACCACAGAATCCTTTGGTGGTTTGCATAGGTTAGATGTTTCGGTCGATTTACTCCGTTTTGCTTCTGTAATCACCTAGCAAGTAATCCCTTGTTTTTACTTCGTCTATCATTGATTGTTGAATAGAAAAAGCTGTGCCATTTTTAGTCGTTGGTGTCGCTTGCATGAATGATGCTCCCACTGATGAAAGGATAGTCAGCACTGGATAGCTGTTTCATTCTAGCCTGAGAGTTTTCAGCAATGTGCACCTACGACTCCATCAGGGATTGTACTTGGAGCCTTCAGGTTACGAGATCAAGCTGATTGATCATTCAGCCACTTGTGCTGGGATTTCAGTGACACGTGAATTCTAACTTCTGTCACTTCGTGATATAGCGCTGCCCTGGCCAGTCCCTTCGATGAACAATCACTTCACCTTGACGGTGGTGGGACCACATTAGTCATGACTTCATAGTACAGCTACCGGACATCAATACAGTAGCTATCAGTAAGCTGGAGATTAATATTTAGATTAAGGGTTTTCTTTGGGATTTGGATTAATTTCATTGAATTCTAGCCCAAGTGGCTGAATGGTTAACAAGCTGGGTTGTATAACCTGAAGTTTTCGATATAACTTACATGTGTTCGTGACGAAACAAACACTGAGATTAATCCAATTTCCTACAAAAACAGGATAATATAAATATCAGTCTCCATTTCATTGTTGGTTATTGATTGGCTGTTCTGAAGCCTGTACGCAGAAGTCGCAGTCAGCAGGGTCCATCATGTCAACGTGAGGTGGTTGCTCATCCATCGTAGGCATTGGTTGCGAGTGTAACGGTAGAAGACGGGAGACTTGGTAAAGGAATGTTTATTTGGAAATCGGTATCTCTATATAGCCAAATTGTGTACACCTTATCTTCAACACACGCACCATTTGCACAGATCACCTTCCATATTGTGCTACTTCTGGCTTTCCTTCATATTTTGTTTCTTTGTGTTCCCTTCACATCTCCCGTGTCTTTCCTCAACATTTACTTTCTCTTGCATCAAATCTATCTCCCTGCTACTTGATGTTTTTATGCCAGCCGATGTCTCTTTACATACTACCGATAAATCTTATAGGTGGCACACGCCACAAGAGTAGTGCTATAACACGAATTGACAGAAGTTAGAACGAATTCATGGGTTATTGAATTTCATCTCAATTGACTAAATAGTTAAAGAGCTGATTGGTCTAGTAACCTGAAAGTCTCGTGTTTGATATCTAGTGGAGTCGTGGGTGTGCATTGCTAAAGATTCCCAGACTGGGACGAAACAGCTATCCAGTGCTCTCCCTGGTTTCCGATGATCTTTCTGACTAACTGATGTTAGTTTGTAATTAAAATTTACACCGAAATTAATTCACATTCCTACAAAATTCATATTCTAAAGAATAATAATTATTCTGCATTATTTGTGGTACATAGTTCTTATTTATACATAATTATCCGTTTGAGAAAGAAGACAAAAAACAGAATAGAGTGTAAATCAAATCCATAATTTGTAAAAAATTTGCAATTTTCAATTTACACAGTTCGAAGTAAGATTTCACTACGGTTTCTTTCTGGAACTGATATTATAAACTAATGTAAGTGTAGAACTTGAGCACTGTGGTGGTAGAATGTCATTCTATCTCATATAAGTTTATTTCAGATATCACATAGTGATGCAGTATTAACACCTGGATGGAGTTTCAAGCAGAATTTATTTCTCATAATGATTTCAATCTAGTCACACGGCTTCACAAAGTGTCTTATTTATGTTTTTTCCCCTCTCTTTCTCTGTTTCCCTCTTCCCCTTGTTATTTGTTGCCACTGTCCATATTTCCGGTATAGGCGTTGAGTCATTCCGATAGCACATGTGCGGTGTTCAGTCGATAAACAAGGATTCAGTGATTAACATCTCTCTCCACCCAACTGTATTACTTTTTATTACTTTCACCTTGTCCCACTCTATTTTGTGATTGTTTACGTGCAAGTGAATGCAATGCAGTGCAATGGCTGAGCTTTTTTTCTAGGCTATCTAACTTATCAGGGTCAATTATACTACGTCTAGCTATATATTTTCATGTTCCGATAATCTAGTTGACCCTGATCTACTAGTTTGACGTATTTTCATAGTTGAAGGCAACAATCTAATATCATCAAATCAATGTGCACCGTGATGGCGAGCTACCTAGAGTGGTGGCCACATTGCAAACCTGACTGACAGAATTCAGTCTGCACCAAAGAAAGGACTAGACACTTCCCACTAGTTACTAGTGTCTAACCAAACTACCCACTACAGTCGTCCAGGAGGTCAATCGCAAGCCCGAATAGCTCAGTAGTAACGTCTCTGACTGAAGCACTGGGTGACGTGGGTTCGAATCTCAGAAGAGACATGAGTTCCTTCAAGGTTGCAGGTACGCTTTGCTGACGAGTGCCAACTAGCACGAAACCTAGGTCCAAGGCTTCCTGTGGCCGATTGCCTCCAACTATGTAATAGTTTGACCTATGTAATTGACCTTACTTTCAATCATTCCTTGGAATTTGGTAAATTATGTTATTTTTCTTAATTGGATCTATTGGGTCCTTAAACCGACAAATTTGATCTCTAAGAGAGATGGTTGGTTGGTTGGTTTAAATGCCACCCTAGTTCCCGCGTCATTGAGAATCCTAGTTAAGGAAGGTCCCTGATGTTCATTCTTTATACGGCAGTGTACTACAGAGACTTTGAATTCTAGGTTTTTTTGTTATATCTGTCATTTCCGTTGCTAATCTTAGTTTTCTTATGGATCCTCATACAAACAAAGAGAAGAAGAATATATATTAATATATATATATATATATATATATATATATATATATATATATATATATATAACAAATTAATAAACCATGTGACTAATCGATATGACTACGAGTGATGAATTCTGCTCGAAACGTCACTGTGTGATATTTGAAATAAACTTATCTAATATGGAATTATACATAATATGTGATCGACCTGTTTGATAGCATAAATGACGATCAAAAAAAGCAGGCATAATTGTCTAGTGCTCTATTACTACTGATTGATTAATTAATTGATTGATTGACACTGATCTGATCTGAGTAGTGTTGGATACCCTTCACATCAAACAGTGGTGCTATGTGTGTAGGCTGGCGGATGGAAGTGATCTAAACACCGGAGAGCCGGTTTGTTTATTTTTGAGGCCGAGCTAACCAGCCTTGTAGCTAGACAGGATTTCGGTATTTGGAGCTGATTCAGCTCTCTGAGGTAACTGATGAGATTTTGGTGTCAAATAACACAACGACTGTCCAGTGTCTGGCTAGTAAAACCAGGTACCTACTACTTTTTCACAGCCATAGATACAGCTGTGAAAGCTGTGAATAAGGTAAATCCAAAGGTGAGTAAAAACCATTGGATGTCGACTGTCTCATCCGAACTGATAGATGCTAGAAGAATTATTCCGGCGAACTCCAAATTCAATGAGGAGCGAAAGCTGCATTAAAGGAAACTTACGAAAGTCTCCGCAAGGACCGTGAACAGTGGTGGTTGACAAAGACGAAAGAGATGGAAAAAGCATCGACGATAGGCAACACTAGGCAACTCTTTAGACTCGTCAGGGAAACGGGTGGAGGAAAGCAAATCACAAGTGAGACTATTTCTGAGAAAAATGGCTCCTCAATTAGCTCTCTGGATAGACGCCTTGAACGCTGGAAAGAACACTTTGAGGAACAATTTAACTTGCCTACAGCTACACTGAACCTCCCCGCCATCCAGCACACACCCGAATGGGACATAAACACTGGCCCGCCGTCTATAAAGGAGGTCACCAAAGCTATCTGTAACTTGAAACGAGGCGAAGTGGCAGGACCCGACGGAATTATTCCGGGGGTGTTTAAATACGGGGGTGACATACTAGTATGTAGATTAACTAAGGTACTAGGTAACGTCTGGGAATCAGAGACGGTTCCATCAGATTGGGGTAAGTCACTTATTACACCGATATTCAAGAAGGGAGACAAGTCCTCATGTGATAATCATAGGGGGATCAGCGTGACCAACATAGTCTCTAAAATCCTAGGCTCAGTAATCATGCACAGACTAAGCCGAACTCGGGAGGAACAAACGAGGGAAAATCAAGCGGTCTTTAGGCCAGGTAGAGGGTGCATAGATCATATCTTCACTCTCCGACAGATCCTAGAACATAGACGCACTTTTAAGGCATCCAACAGTTGCCATATTTCTTGACTTGAAGGCGGCCTTCGACTCCGTGGATCGAGAGGTACTATGGCAATGCTTGACTGTGAAGGGAATACCAAGAAAGTACATTGCACTAATCAAGGCACTCTACTCAAACTCACGTAGCTGTGTAAGGGCTTATGGGGAATTGTCATCTGAATTGTTAACAACCAGTGGTGTCCGTCAAGGATGTCCACTTTCCCCATTTCTGCTTAACTTCATCATAGATATGCTAATGGAAGTATCCTTAACTGAACTTAACGACTTAGGAATCCACTTGTTACCAGGAAATGGCGCATATGTATTCAGTCTCTGTAATCTTTCATATTCCTTTCTAGCATTACTGATTCTGCTTCACTCTTATACTTGTCAAAACTCTATTGATTCTCTTCACTCATCTTCTTGTCTACCTTTGTGTGCTATTTGGAACGTGGCAACTCGAACTGCTACACTTCGGTGCCAAGCTCTATGTTGAATCCAGACAGACAGAGACTTTATGTAATTGGTACCCAACTACACACATCAATCAATCAATCAGAAGTATATTACGTGATACCACCCTGGTACAGTTCACTTATCGTTTCTTGGTAATACTTATTGTATTGTACTAAGAGAGGGGGGTGTAATTCAAATATTTTCATGTATTCATAATAGGAGCATACCGGTGTTAAACAAATACGTGTTCTCGGTAGTTTCTTTTCTCTCTCTCTCTCATCAGGCTTTACAATTACTTAATAAAATTACTAATCATTGACATCTGAAACTAATTTGGTTAATAGAATTAAAGTTTAGGCCATATGAGAATCAGCAGAGCACAAATAATCAAGCTGATTTTAATAAATAATAATAATAATAAGGAGGAGGATAAATTCATGCAGGTATTTTAATATAATCTAGGTAGTAGTCAATCATTGTAAATGTATAAGTATATATTCATATTTTTGTAGGGATAGAAGGGAAAAGGTAACTAATGTCGCCATCAATTGGTGGATGGTGACTAGCTGTGGAATCCAGGATGCGCATTTCGTCCTATCTGGGACTCGTCATCTGGATGTACTTGCATTCCCCAGTGAGTGAGTGATGGTGTTCCCACCCATAAGACCCGTTGCACAAAAGGCAGCTATCATAGCCCAAGTGGTCTATTGGCGTTTGAAACTATGGGCACTGGGTTCGAGCCTCGTTGGGAACAACATCACTCACTCACTGGGGAATGTAGGCTCATCTAGTTGACGAGTCCCAAATAGGACGAAATGCACATCCTGGATTCCACTGCTAGTCACCATCCACCAATTGACTTCAAGTTACATGACCAGCCATCGTCGAAGCATCTCCACAAGGAGCCGACATGTCAACCTGAGACCGAGCACTTCCGTCCAATCAATCAATGGACGGGAAAATCTAAGTTGAATTAAATAGATAATAGATTGTTTGGTTTGTATTGTAAATTTTGAAACTAAGCTTAAAATATGCAATTTTAACACAGTATGATAATTTGTATGCAACTATGCTGAAGAGTCCCAAGCTAGGATGGAGAAACAGCTGTCCAGTACTGCCAGGTTTTCCGGTGGTTCTCTAACTGATGTCAGCTCATAATGAAATCCTCCATCCAACCAAACAAACAAAATCCCTACAAAACCAACACTTGAAAATTCATCAACATCTGTTAATCAAGTGTATAGTACTCAGCTGGAGGTACTTACAACAATATTTATTACTATTACTATTAATAAAACAAACTTGCTACATTATGAGCACCAAAAGAGGTGCCATACAAAATCTCATAGTTTGTGCAAAGGTCAGGATACTATTCGGACGCCGAGACTCAAGCAGGTGGTTGTCTCCACCCTGATTCACAAAACAGTGAAGTAGCGTCAGATGATACGTTCGCATGGATTCTGGTAACCGAAACAACTTCACACACCATTCGATGTGTTCAGCTTCTGAAGCCTGGTGTGCATCATAGATTTGGAATCAGGATTTCCCAAGTCTCCTATCAGTCTTTGGTGGTTGTAAGAGCCAGGAACGTTTGCATTCTTCCATTCATTTTTGTGATAAACTATTCTACCGGGCAGAGGTGTAATGAATAGGACTTACCTGGCGGAGTCTATGAACGCATGCCCATTTGAGAAGATTTCAAGAAGAAGATCAAAGTCTACCAATCCTGGGCCGTACCAAGTCGTTTATGGGGTGGGGGTTGGGGGAGTGTCAAACTCATTGCAAATCCCAGGCTCCACCTGTTTCATTCTAGGCGGTTGGGTGGGTGGTAATATTGTGGTGAGAGCTGGCTACTAGCCAAAATTGGTAGACAGTAATTTACGTCAATGTTTATGTCCCCAATATTGGTCATGAGAAAAATAAGAACAAAGACTGACTCAACAACCAATCACAGCAGACTTTGCGTAGGTGGATACAATTTGCAGATAGATAATCTGAACTTCAAGAAACAGCCACAAACAGATGAAAGATTAACGTTCAGCGAGAAATAACCAATCAGAAGACTGTGTTTTTCTGCTAACAATAATCTATAATAATGTACATGAAAATCTATAAATATCTGTTGATTTCGTAAGTAAACGGTCTGTTGCCTGGTCCTTGTCTTCTGTTGTTACAATATCACGCAGTCCTCATACGGTAAGTATGGCCCACTGATTAGTGTTCTGGCTAACTGATTTCTGACAACTCAAAGAAAACTGTGTAACGTTTTAGTGTTAGAGATATTTTCTTTTCTTTCCCTTATAAGCTAATTATCATGTTTTCAAGTATTTAAACTTACTTGCTTTATTTTTCTACTATTTTTTTTTCCAGCGATGTATCACCGCTCTGATTGAAAGGGAATATATCAAACGAGACAGTAATGAACGCGATGCATATGAATATCTCGCTTAAAACTCCTTTTTTTCTCTCTCTCTCTCAATGCATATACATAAAAAACAAACACATCATATTTACTTTCAATGGGCTTTCCTGTAGCGCACCTTTCCTTCACGATCTCATTATGATGACGACGACGAGGATGATTATTTTTAGTGTGTCTATAACTCTGAGGCCTAATCTTATCATCAAACTGTTACTTTGTAAAAAAGCACTTCTCTAATGAGATGAAATTATTTGCGCTTGTATTTAAACGAGAGAAAAAAATAGTGGAGAAAAGAAGAAGTAACCAATCCGTTTACAGTGTGCTATTAAAATTCTCATTTCTTTCTTTTTTGTTTTGTTTTTTTACTTTCTTATCACACTACCTTCACTTCAAGCGAAGGGGAGTGTGTGTAAGATCCTATCGCGCGCTCCAACTTTCGATGATTCGTACCATAAGGCGGCTGCTACCTGACAACTACCTATTTAATACAAGAGTTTTGTCTTCTTCTTTTCTCCTTTTGCTGCATCATCACTTCGCTTTTTTCAACGATTTGTGTAATTCTAAATACAGGCATTGATGATGAGTGATACTGTCGGAGTCTCATGTTATACTCCGCATCTTATTCAGGATACCGAATAATAATATCAGTGCACTGTCCTTTCATTCATTCTGTGTTTTTTAGCAGTATTCTCTGGAACCAACCCCTTGTTATAACAAAAATACAGACATATTTTACTGCATCATAGCCCTGTCACATCTTTGTCTTCTCTCTCTTCGCTTTTCAGTGTGTTTGTCGATACCTGACTTCAGTTTCTTCAATGTAATTTTCCTCTTAGCCAACTTCTTCCTTCTTTGTACTGCGGTAAAGTCAATTGTGTTTGTCGGTGTGTTTGTCTGTCTGTCTGTCTGTTCATGCATTCAGTCATTCATTTTATTTTGTTTACTCGTATTCCCCCTACCTTTTTACCCCGTTGCGTCGTCAGTGGTTCAATTCAATGGTAGAATGCTCGCCTGACATGCGGGCGATCAGAGGTCAATTTCTGGCTGACGCACTCCGCCGTCCTCTATGTGTGTGTTTGTGTGCGTTTTTCTAATAGACAATGGTTTTGAAATTCTCATGGAAGAAAACGCAAATGGTATTACTCTCTACTCTGCTCTACTTACTACCTGCTGCATACATTACCCCTTTCCCACCTCCACCCCCAGCCACTACCCTCAGTTTCAGTAACAGTGTCGGTTTCAAATATCTCTTCTCTCTCTGTGTATGTGTATGTATGTGTGTAATTTATGAATTAATTTTACATGTTTTCGTCATAAATGATGATTGTCTTTGAGGGGTGTTTGTGTGTGTGTTAACACCCCCTAGACACAAACTATACTTATAAACCACCCCATGATAGCATTTGTCTTTTGCACACTACCTTTCCTTTTTCCTCCTCTCTCTCTCTCTTCTTTTGATGTTTTTATGTGAACAAAAGAAAAACAAACAAATGAAAATGCAGTATGTTCTCACTCCCCCTTTATCTCTCTCTTTCTGTCTTTGTTAACATATTTAGTCATTTGCAAGTCTTATTTTCTATAGTTTCAATACTTACAAAGTGATGCAGAAATTATACATGATATGACATTGTTTTTATCAATTAATAATCATATTACAGTTATTATTATTATTTTCATTTGTCCTGCATGTGTAAGTGACTTACTTACTTTGGTAAATCTTCTTCTTCTATAATTGACTTCCCTGTCGCTTTTCATCGCTTTTATTGATTGTTTTCATTGGGTAGTTAGTAGTTGTCCGTTTTCTTTTTGTGTGTGTTGGGAATACTATTCCTTCAGAGGTAGCTGAATACCAGTCAGTCATGCACGTGCTCTGAGGTTCGACTCCCGGCTAATGCACTTCTAAACGACGCTTAGTCGATAGGAATTCCGGAGAAAGAGGCAAGGTTGGGCGTGTGAGGCTAGGTAATCTGTTTGCTTCCGTGGAAGTACCACAAGCGTTAGTGAAACTTCGGTGCCCTAGGTTCGCCTTAGAACGCATAGTAATGAAATAAAAAGGATATTACTTAGTTTTGTATATGCTTAGTTTGTATTAGAATCAAACGTCGTGATGTAATGCGGTTGTTTTTAGGTGACTATGTTAGATGTCCACATACAATACAGAGGTGCACACACAAATGATACATCTGCAATGGACGCGAAGGGTCGGGTACGCACTGTGAGTGACATCTGGCGCCAGGCGGTATCTCTAATTGGTGGAAAAGGACGAGTTGGGCGTTTGAGGGTGACGTGGAGCTGTTGAAAGATAGGTAGGTGGTAATGGACAGTTGTGGGGCCAGCTGAAGAGGACTTCAGGATGTACTGTTGAAGCCGTATGTTCCACTCAGAACCCAAGGGAACATTGACATAAGGAGCGTACATAAGCTAATATAATCTGTTATGACTATATTCTATGTAGTTAAGCGACAAAACCATATTATGAGGAAAAATTAAAGCAACATAATACTCTAGAGGGTGGTGAGCTTTGTGGAAGCGGCTTCACTTATGTTGAAACAGTTGTAACAGTGCTGAATGATTTTCTGATGAATATTGTCTTGGGAGTTAAACCGCCTTATTGTTAGTCATATTCGCATATGCCAGTTTACGCCGTCTCTGGTGTAGACGTGATATCTGGTTGGCTATCGATCAGAGGGCGGGTATACTGCTCAACAGTCCACTCCGTCCTCCTTTATGTCTGTGAGACCTGGCCATTGAGAGTGGAAGACATGAGAAGACCAGCTGTCTTTGATCATACGTGTCTGCGTTCTATCTCCCGAGTGAAGTGGTATAATAAGGTGAGCAATACTGAGGTTAGGCGTCGAGTGCTAGGTAAGTGGGAGGGGAAATCAATCGACGAGGCTGTGAAATTACATCGACTGAGATGGTTAGGACATGTGTTACGTATGCCTAGTCATCGCCTTCGTCGAAAACAGGCAATGTTAGCTGACATAGTGTAAGGCTGGAAAAGAGCTAGCGGCGGTCAAACCAAAACATGGCACTAGTCAATGAAATCCACAACATGGGGGAGGGGTGTGTGTTGTAATCAGGTCAAATTCTGTTTTAGTCCATCATGATACTTTTGTAGTGCTAAAACGAGATCTACACAGTTCATTCCTAGAGAAACTAAACAGTCTATCTCCCGGAATCCAGTTTACTTCGGAAGCAGCATCAGACATCAGTGAACTACCATTCCTAGACTGCCTAGTTGAGAGGGGGGGGGGGGAAACGGACATTTTACTTTACCTATATTCAAGAAGAAAACTCACTCCAACAAATATTTAGACTTCGGGTCATCACACCCCATCAGCGCAAAGGTGTCAGTTGTTTCAAGTCTCGTTAGACGAGCACGCTTTGATAACGGATGAGAACGAAAAAGAAGAAATATCTCAGGTAAAACAACTACCCAAGGAACTTCATCAACAAAATCAACACAGACATTAAGTGTGGCCGAAAACGCATTCCGAAAACATGGACCTCAACAGTCTTCATTCCATATAGAGCAGAGACGTCAGACGATATCAGAAGAGTACTCAATCAGCTCGACATCAGAGTTTTCTTCAAAACATCACATACACTGCAAAGCAACCTCGTACATATAAGAGACCAAATCCCTAAAGATTCTCTATCTAATTGTGTCTATAAAATAAAGTGCTTGGAATGTGATGCGATCTACATCGGACAAACATCTCGAGAAATCAAAATCAGAAGAAATGAGCACCGTAGAGCCGCCTCTGTTCGACAACCGAGAAATCCAGTTGAACTAGAAAAGCTTGAGAAATCATCAGCCATAGGTCTACGCGCTATAGAATCAGGTCACAAAATTGATTTTCACAATATTGAAATAATCCAGAAAAATTCCAGAAATCACAAAGAACGTCTAATATCAGAAGCACTTCATGTCAGGTGGAATCCAAATTGTCTGAATAGGAATGATGGACTAAAACAGAATTTGACCTGATTACAACACACCCCTCCCCCATGAAATGACGAAATCAACACGAATATGATAAACAATTTCATTATGTAAACACACACTGCTTTTATAATTTTACACAGTTATCAAATCCAACAATCTACACCTGGTTTTGTTATCTTTACCAATTGGCCAATTTGACAACGCAAAAATGACCCCATACTGAGGAACGATAGATGATTAAGTTGTTATATGTAAGCTGAGTGGATTTTGTAAATTCTGGTTTAATAATACTACTTTGATGAAGCTATTAGCAGCAGCATTAAATAGCGAAACGTCAGTAAAAACAACACAATATCGTTTTGTTTTTCATTCATTGGGAAATACAATAAAACCTTTATTATAATGAAGCCTTGAAATAAGTCATAAGTTTTACACATTCATAAGAAGTTAAACGCAGATTGTTGAATAGGAGCGTCGATGGTTCAATTGTAGAATGTTCACCGATGACGACAACATGGTTCGGGGTTCGACTTCTCGGCCGACACACTCTTAAACCTCGCTTTACCAGTGTGGTGAGAGCTGTCTGCAAGCCAAAATTGTAGACAACAATTTACATCAGTGTTCACGTCCCGAATCAGGGTCATGAGAAAAATCAATAACAAAGCTTAACCTTGAGAAAATCGCCAGCCAATCACAACTGAGTTAAAGTGTGGAAATATGATTCACAGATATATGAGTTGATTTTCTGAGAAACGGCTACAAAGAGATAAGAGAATAACCTTCAGCAGGAAAACAACCAATCAGAAGAGGTTACTTCTCCGCTAACAATAATGTACATAAAAATCTATAAATACCTCTTGATTTTCTCAATAAACGATCTGTTGCCTGACCCTTGTCTTCTGTCGTTACACCAGTAGTAAGCCCAGAAAGAGAGGGAAGGTTAGGCGTGAGACTAGCATCCCTACCGTGTAAAGAACACCAACGCTACTTCAACTTTAAAGTCTAAAACTTGAAGCCCTGGGGAAGGAAAAAGGAATGAAGAATTTGAGTAGAGGCGATTTCGTGGTAAATTTTACC